TGGCGTCAGCAGTCTCGAAGCCGGCTAGAGGTGTTCTAGATGCGTGTGCGGAAGGCGCTGGTCTCGGGAGTTGGTGTACGTCTCTTTGTATATGGGTAGAGCGCGCTCTGTGTGTAGAGCGGGCTCTATTTTCTGATAGAGCCCTTTCTGGCACTCTACCCATTCTGGCTTTCTTGTCATCCATGGTAACCTGCGCCTGGGCTATCGTTACCGTTGGGGTTGGGGTAGAGGTTGCTGCCTGAGTAGGAGGCTGCACCTTCTTCTTCTTCTTCCTCCCCCGCCTACTCCTCTGAGAGGTTTGGCGCTCTATGGCGTCGTTAGCGGGGGGCTGAAGAGTCGCCCCGGTGGTTGCCTTTGATGTAGTAATGGTGGGCACCACCGTTCCTGTGGGGGCCGTGACGGGTGGAGGGGGGGGCAGGTTGCCTTCCTTTTCCTCTAATAGTAGTCCACCCGTCTTCTTGGACCACGGCCCTGGGACGACTTTGGGGGACCCTCTTGGGCTCCTCTGGGAGTAGTCCCGGTAGAGTGATCCCCTGCTTCCTTGCAATCCTCCTCAGGACTGGGCAGCGGCGATCGTTGGCGGTATGGTTCTTAGCGCAGTTAGCGCATCGCGGTTCCTCATCTCTACCCCTTGGGCAGTTGCTGGCGATATGGTCACCGGCGCAGCGAACACACTTCACTGGCCTGAAGCAATTCGTGGACGCATGGCCAAAGGCCTGGCAGCGGTGGCACTGTGAAGGGCCCGCTCTTCCTTGCCAGGCCTCTATGACGACTCCTCTCATGAAGAGGAGCTCGTCGATCTGGTATAAATCATTGAGGCGCTCCAGGCTCAGGTGGTCCAGCTGCGCGAAGTAGAGGCACCCAGGTCTGCCTCTACGGGGTGGGATCCCTTTAACATATCTAATCGGGAACCCCTTAGCCCTGATAGCCCCCTCTATTGCAGATGGATCTGTGCCCACTGGTAGTCCCCGAATACCCACGTTCGTGGGCTTGTCCTCCTCGGGGGTGTAGCAGTACCAGGACATAGCTGGTACTTTTTCCGTAATCTCAATCAGGTACTTTTGTACCGTCCGGAATTCTTCCGGACTCTGGGGGGAGAATCTGACCCCCTTGCCGAACGGACGAGCATTCGGTTGGTGGCCCAGCTTCTTGTTAAGTACTTCGAAGTGGTTCGTCCAATCCGGCAAGCACTCGGCCACTATAGGTGGGTACCTTTTAGCCGATTCTTCCGGCGGCTTTGGCGTTTCGGCTGCCCTGGTCCTTGGTACTGCCGGCGCAGCTACCAGTTGGGCATAGCTGGTCGAAGGCCTCTGACCATCGTCTGATGGCCGGCCCGACGGGTTGGTGGTAGGCGCGGACGGTGAATGTCCGGCAGACGTACTCGGAGCTAGGGTCGCATACGTGGTGGCACTCCATCCGTATGACCCTTCCCCTCCTTGTTCCAGATCAGCAGCATCCATAGTGATGTGTTGTTCCGGTGTTCTGGGGGGGGGGTGGTTTTAGTCGGCGATGGCGATTTTGGTGGTGATCTCCTAATCGGCTTTTCAGGTTGGTGATCCGACTCTCCCTCAGATGATGAATAATCCGAGGAGTTGGTGGTACTGTAGCATCGCCTCTTCTCCTGGAGGGATGCTGCTGTTTCTGGAGGCGTATGCCTTCTCTGGGTCTTTTTGGCCCGCTGGGGTTGGGGGAACGGTTCCCGCCCAGTCGTACCTCCAGGTACGACGGGTGAGAGCGCGGTCCTCGGTGCGGGCTCTTTACCCGGTGAGGAGGGTTTCCTTGTCGGGATCTGAGAGTAGGAGGACACTACTCTAGTCCTTTCAGGATCGAAAATGTCGCGATACGCGATAGGACGGTCTAGTACACCAGGACGGTCGGGTGGTCTTCTGGGTTTGGGTTTAGGTGGAGGCTCCCCCTTGTCCTTATCGGACATATTGAAACCTACCTAAGTCAGTCAGGTATTCTCTAAGGCCCTGTCTAATAAATGCCAGCCGATTCGGCACGAAGCGCGACGCGGATAGCAGAGTATAAAAAGTAGTTGGCGTATTCACAACTGGGCACTGCCTACCCCTTTTGTCAACAAAAGGGTTGGGGGAAGTGCGACGGTGGCACTTTACGACGCGACTAGGCACAGGATGCTCGGAGCGCATAAAGTGCCCAAGAATCACCTAGGGGCCGGTGACCTCGACGCCTCACAGAATCACGGGACTCAACGTTCGGCGGAGTATGTCGTACCGGCGGTCATTTACAGCCACTGATAACTGCAAACAACGCACACCTAGGAGATCCTTGATCAACGATTTGTAAGAAAACTCGTTTACTGAGCTACCACAAAACTATACGCGAAAGAGAGCCGCGCCCTCTGTGCGATTACGCCACTTAATTACATCAATTTGTACTATCACTCTCTCACGGTTTGCCCAATATCTTTATTTGTATAAGATATACATTTATACATTTGAATTATAAAGATAGCACAAAAAATATCTATACTATGATATACATTACATTTTTATATCACAAAGAACCTTTTATTTATTCAACAAAAAATGCCCATTTTACAACATATGCACCAAGTTATAATTCTTAAATATCTAACATATAAGGTTGAAACAATGTTCTTCACTTGAAAATATAAATATCTTAACTAATACAATAGTTTGATTTACATTTTTCCTATACATTTTACTATTAAAAAACACTTTTAAATTTCTTACACAAAACCATCAGTATTTCACTAATCCAAAGGAATTTTCACATGAAAATAACACAGAATTCACCTATTTTGCTCATACAGTCAATCTGAAATACTTTACAAGTCAATTTTACATAAATTGCTGAAATTTGCAAATATTTAAATTTCTACTTATTTTGACCTCCTAAGTTAACGCGCGGCTATGAACTCACGCTATTTGAACAACTAATTCTCACACGACTTTCAATTGTCGGCAAAAATGGCAAATTTAGCACACACGGCTATCAACCAATACTAGGTGAACAACTGATTCTACACGACTCCCAAATTGTAGGAAATTATTTCTAAATAGATTTTTATCAGTTATCATGTCTCTTATCAGATAACATAGACAAATATTTTATGAATCAAACATCGAAAACAAACATTTTGTTTTCATACAAAACGTATCAAACTCATACAAGATAATACTTATGCAATTAATTTCCATTAATTCTATTTATTCACAAAGTGATCATTTCGACCGGGGAACAAATCCTGGTCTCTAACTTTATTATTCCTTTAAATTAACATTATTGGAAAGGTGATTTCAACCGGGGAACTGAAACCGAAAACATAATTTATATCTTAAAAATTTCCTATATGAATTTATTAAGAAAATATTACTAAGAAAACGACAAACTAGTCCGGCCTGGGAATCGAACCCAAGACCTTCAAATCATTAATTCGATATTTCTTTAAGATTCAAATAAGTGTTTTCTTATTAGAATATTATTGCTCGATAATTTGTTTTTAGAAGCTGTTCGTAATCGGTTAACCAATAAATTGAAATATTCTTATAGACGCGTCGCCAACAGACACAAATAAAAAAAATTAAGTTATGAATAATAATTTTAATTTTTTTTTTCTTATTGGCATGTCAATAACCGCCTCAGTCTAATCTAAGGCAGTTATTTCAATATTACAGACCGACATTTCAATATATTTTTATATAATGTACATACCTATAAATCATATTGTAGGTACTACTATATAATATTTAATTAATTAGGAAACTCAATGATGGAAGGTCGATTTGAGGATTTTAGACTAAGGTTGATTGAAGGAGAATAATACATCACCTAATATTACTTTTTAAATATCTCCTATACATTAATTACAAACAATTATTGAATTAAAAAATACAGCATGACAGAAGATTTAAAACCAAAGTCAAAGAAGTAATAAATAAATCAGCCAAACTGTTTTTCAAATGTTTATTATCAATAAAAATATTAAATCTGTATTTATTTTTATGAAAGTGTCATCTAGCGGTCTACAGAAGAACTGAAACTACGTCTACTCGTCTACTTCTCTTATACCTCTTCTAAATCTATGACCTCAAGGCAATCCAAAAGACCATGGAGTATAGAGGTAAGGAGGACAGTCTCCAATAAGAGAATAGTTGAAAATGTGTCCATCTGTAAGCAGTAAATAACAGTTCAAAAACTCTCCACAACAGCGTTCGAGCAGCTACCGAATGTATGATAAATCGCCGTAAAATACGTTGAGAGTGATTTTGAAAATAAAAATTTTGAAAGCAATAATTTTTTTATTATATCTTTTATCAGGTAACTAACGGTCATGCAATTAACAACTCACCAAAACTTCGGATTCGAATACGATATTCGATACGAATTTGGAATACACAACCTCCATGATTCGAACGAAAGGTACATTGATAAATAAATGTGTAGAAAGGTAGACAGGTATAGTTATAGTAATGCATACGAGACAAGATAAACATTAAACAAAGAGAATTTCATTTTTATGTGTAGCAACATTAGAGTTCATTTTGTAAAAAACAATGTATTTTACAAGTGGCAGCACTGATGTGCGTTCGGAAAACTATATCGCATATAATTTGTTTACTAATATCATTGTCACGTAGGCACGATAAAACTATTTTTAAACATTTAAAAATTCCTTAATATTGGTCATTGTAATTAAGTTTTATTATATGGAACTATGGAATCATACATTGAAATAACGCTTTCTTTGTTTACTACGGATCGGTGAATCAGAGTGTTGCTAAATTCGGTAGTTGAACACAACTTTTTTTTATATCGTATTGAACTTTTATCTGTCAGCTGTGCGGAGGGAGGGCTATCAAGCTGTCAAATGGTGAATAGCAAAGCGGTAGTGAGAATATTTTTTAACAAATATGTGTTTTTATTTCCAATTTAACACGCATAGGTAATCGCTGCACATAGCCTTAAGCTTTAGTGTAATTAAGAATAGTGGTGAGTGAAGGCGACATCGCATTATGAGCTCAAGAGACAGGGACACAAAGTCCCTTCAAGACAAATTGAAAGTGTTCTTTAAAAAGGGAGGTACGGGTGCGTATCGTGCGTTATATTCTTGTAGTAAACATGAAATACTTAAGCAGCACCAGATCTTGCTAAGTTTCCGTGTTAACTCTTAACCCTTACAGCGCCTATGTCAACTCGAAATGAGCTGACAATAGGACCTGAACTGGAACGAGAGTTGAGCGCCGACACACCACAAAGCCGTCGACTGCGTGCCATCAAAGAAGTTGGTGAAAAAGCCCTTCAAATACGCATACAAGAAGTAAGAATTGAACACAAACCTGTTTATTCTACATATACCCTCTACTTACTGATGTAATATTTTATAGAATTTCATGTCACTTCTATTGTCACTGCCTTTACTTGTGCTTAATCTATAGTCTGCATAAAGTTAACTTTCATTTTTCAATAATTTATATCCTAAAGTGCAACATGACTTGTAGCTAAAACTGCCATTAAAGGTTATTGATAAAACTTAAGAAATACATTTTTTCTACTGTTAGTAAAAGTAATAATAATTTTTAAAAGCATTACACCTCCCAAACATGATAACGTAAATCCTCTCTACTATCTGGGAAGCAAATTATGACCAGAAGTAGGCTTCCTCATAGGCTAAAAGTAAAAGGGATTTTATGGTTACTTCATATAATACTACTATTTAGCAACAAATTGTGTCATGCTTCCTTATTAATCTGGGATAAACAAAAGATACTGTATTCAATATTACTGTTTAAATTAATTAAAAAAATTACATTATTATGTAATAATAAATGACAATTTTAATATGTTTAAAAATAAATTATTCTTAGAAAGTATTAATTGAGCACGACATATATTGTATGTGTATACAAATACATACATAAGGCAGATTAATAGCAGCTTAGTACTACTGTGTTTCATATGGTGAGTGTAGAGATCCAGAGACTATTTTTTACTGGAAATGAGGCATTCCGTCTTAGTCCTCAAGTGTGACAATGCATCTGCATTTTGATTCTTAATGGAGGATAAATGTAGATGTCTATGGGTCACAGCATCCACTTACCATCAGGTGGACTGTGTCCTTGTGTGTCACCCTTATTCTATCAATAAAAAGATATAGTACAAACTACCATTGAACTGCATAGATAACTATATCATACAATACTAAAACTATAGAAATTTATCTGCATCAATATATCATTACATTACTTGCTTTTATAATTCTATCAATTTTACTAGGTGGTAGGAACCCTTTTCTGCCAAGCGTCTGGTTATGTTCCACACTCTTACCTGTTTCTGTTGCCAAATAGCGGTGCATTCAATGTAGAATTGAGAACCAGTATAATACCAGGCTGTGAGCTATTCCATCTTAGTCATCAGAGGTAATACACAGTTAAGCTAAGTTTGTACTTGGTGCGGATGACATAAAAACAAAAGTAATCCAGTAACTAAACAAATAGGAGATGAAAATTAATAAACATATTTATTGATAAACATATTTATAATCTTAATTATTAGCTGGTTATATAAAAAGAAGGAGGTTTATAATTTGACTGTAATTTCTTTTTTGTATGTTAAAAGATATCTTTATCAATTGTAAATTAAGTTAATTTTATATTAATTCTTATCTAAATTGTTAATTGTAAATGTTAATTGTTAAATACATGTCTTCTATTGTTACCACTTATATACACTTACAAGCTGTGGCATTTGACCATTATAAGCTTTGTATGTGGTAAAGCCACGCTGCAGCTATATTATGACACTAGTATAAATGGATTGACTCCACCAAGAAAGAGCCCCACTCTCACAGAATACCAATGTTAAATAGCAGCTTAATAGTGCTTTGTTTCGTAAGTGCAGTGATCCAGAGAACCTCTTTACGTGAAACATGGCATTCCATCTTAATCCTCAGGGGTGACAATGCATCTGCATTTTAATTCTTAATCTAGGATAGATGTAGATGTCTCTAGGTCATGGCATCCACTTACCACCAAGTGGACTGTATGCTCGTTTGTCACTATAAATACTGCTTAGTTGTGTTTAACTTGTTATTGTAATTCTTATGTTTTTAGCTGACTTCAAAAAAGGGGAAAGTTCTTAATTCAACTGTAGTTTACTTTTGTATGCAATGCAATATATTCATCTATAAAACAATTTTAATGATTTTGATGCAAATTTTTAATCATCACATCCATCCACTACAGCCTATTGAAGTCCACTACCGAACGTAGATTTCCTAATAGGGGGGATTTTGCTATAGCTTACACGTTCGGCAAGCGGGTAGTCAACCCCAGTTTTTTTATGATTTTAAGTTGTTATCGGGAAGATGCTGCTGTCCACCACTTGTTTCATTTTCCCTTTGTCGCCTCCTACAACACCTATAGGATGATATGGGATAGTGGATATTCTTACACCGCTAACATTTTTAATGAAATATTTTAATTCAAAGAAAAAATTCAAGGACATATGAAAAAATAAGAAATGAAATTTTTAGTATAACTATTTAAAAGACATTCTCATTGTTACCTTGATGTTGCATTGCTTAGCCCGATCAAATGCTAATATATAGTGTATTTAAGGATTATACTCTTAACTTTAGATGCTTACAACTTTTTTTTGCTTGTATTCCTCCCTCCTAGGAATATCACAATGCACTTTGGTTTTACAAAATGTTTTTATTATTGAAAAATTTATAATCTTTCACTCTCTGGATTAGACATGTTGGTATATCACTGACTATATACAATCATAATGCAAGTATTCTACTAACATGTCACATTCCTAAACATGATATGCCAGTTTTCTTTTACTTAACCTCTCAACCCCCAAGCGGTCTCATGAGGTCACACCCACCCACAGCACTTTAAACAATAAAAACTTATATATAGAGACTACTTTTCAATGAAGAAGTTTGGCATAATATAATCAATATGAAATACTTTATCCTATAGTACAATAAAAAAACTGTTATCTTATGAATATTTATTTATAATCTATGTTTATTTCGTACGCCATTTTTGTGAATGTTATTGTGTTGATTTTTGGATTTTTCTAGTGTTTTATTAGTGTTTTTGTATAGTATTTTATTATAAATTTGTAATGAAAGTTTTTGTTTGAATATAATTTATCTTTTTACGTAAATAATTTCGACTAATATATATTGAAATAATTGTGATTTTTACACTGCTCACATTCGCTGGGTATATTTTTTTTTTTGTTATCAAAATACAATAAAATCTTTTTGTAATGAAGTAAAACCTGACTTTTGTTTAGACCACAAGATAGAGAATTTTGTATAGATTTTATAATCCTAAACTTCTTCAAAGAAAAGTAGTCTCTAAATATAAGTTTTAATGGTTTTAAGTGCTGTGGGTGGGTGCGGTCGCTTGCGAGTACTCGGGATTTGCCGGGCGCATGCGACTGCACGGGATTTTTATAGTGCTTGAGGGGTTAAACACATAATGTACATTTAATAAAAGTTATTTTTAGGGTTTTTTGCCTGTCTTTAGAGACAAGTGGTTATTATTAAATATCTTGTAATAACCATTATATCTTCCTTAAGCAAGTGTTAAATAATATGTTTGTAAATTATGATTTATCACCTTTGTTTATCGCTAATAATATGTGTTACTCTTGTTAGCACTACATAAATTTGTTGACAAATGATTTTTTTATAAAACTACGAAAACAGTTACTGAATAAGTATAAACTTGTTTACCACTGCATAAACACCTGCAGCGAACAAGCGAAGAAGGCTACAGATCGGTTGTTACTATTGAGGACTAAGATAGAATGCCTCATGGATTGTAAATACACTGGCTCTGGTAGTCTAAGCACTGGTATTTAGCAGCCGAAATAACTCAGACAGTGGTACACAGATGGACTCCCAGGCAGAAAGGATTTCTACCTGCAGTAAAACATCCTACCACAAATAGTAGTTAGAGTACCTGAATCATGAGTCCTGTACACAAATCTCAGCCATTAAATACATATTAAAACAAGATGATACTTTTAGGTCTGTTTGCATTGCAACTACACTTGTCTTTGAATCTGTGTCACAACATACCTCCAATCTTATCACATAGGTTTGTATGAGTGCTTCTGTTTGTACATACACTTATTGATGTAAAAAGAATATCATTATCGAAAAATATTGAGTATTACAAGCATTTGTCAAATAATTGAAAGTGATGATGAGCAAGTACTTGATACATGCAGGAATACAACCCGTGGTCACAACAACCTATAATTTAGCCACTATGATATTTAGCTGTCAAATTTGTGCATCTTAGGTTTTATTTTTGAAAGATTTTTTTATAAAATTTAAAAGCTTAACGTAACGAAAAGTTAGTTGTACACAATGAAAATCTTTGAACAAAGTAAACCATACACCAATTCTGTTATGATTTGAAGGGTGAGATAGACAGTATACTTCTTGATGTAAGTATAGAGCAAAAAGCAAATTCACACTATCAAATTAGAAAACCTAAAACACATTACTCTAAATGAAGTCATCAAAACAATTATATGTGATAGAGCCACATTGTAGCACAAATGGGTCGGCTAGACCGGGGAAGGACCACCCTCACAGAATACCAGCATAAAATAGCAGCTTTAATACTGCTGTGTTTCATATGGTGAGTGTAGAGATCCGGAAACCCTTTTTTTTCTGGAAATGAGGCATTCTATCTTAGTCCTCAGGGGTGATAAGGCACCTGCGTTTTGATTCTTAATCGAGGATAAATGTAGATGTCAATGGGCCACAGCATTCACTTACCATCGCGTGGACTGTGTGGTCGCTCGTCACCTTTATTCTATAAAATAAAAATATTAGAAATAGAAATAGAAACTTTTTTATTCAATGTAGATTATAAAAATACTTATTGAAAGTCACTTTTTTAATTTACCACTACATTACAAACACACATTCCTACACTACACATTCTTATGATAAGTTGTCTTTCTCTGATGCTTGGGCACCATTGGTTGACTGATTATGATTATTGATATTTATGCTACTCTTACGTTTTCATTTTGACTGCAATTATTATTTGTGTTAAAAATATTTTGATTTTAAGGGTGGAGTGGAAAAAATATGGTCATGCACCCGAGATCTCTTAGAAGATCCCAATCCAGAGGCTCGTCACACTGTCCTATGTCTTTTACGACGCATCGCAGAAGGCCAGGAGGGACATTTGTTGATAATGCGGACTATACTGTTTCACTATCTGCGCGACACACACGCCACGCACTCGCCGGATGACACGCAACTACGATTCAAACTGCTATACACCCTGACCAACAGTGGCAAGAACATCAACTGCTTTGAAGAACAGGTAATGTGGTAATATTATGACAGCTTTACTGTAACTGGTATAATTACTTACAATAAGCACATTTCGTTTTTTTTTTAATGTTACCTCCACACTAAGATTTTCTCATGTATTGTGGGAACAGTTAACAAACAAAAATTTTTACAAGGATAAACATCCAGACCCAGAACAATTACTTATAGGCCATTCAAATACTTGTTCCGAGCCATTAGCACTGTAACTCATTGCTTAGCCACTGCGTCACATAAGTAGATAAACGGAACAGAGATAAAGCTTCATACAACCTCGTGAATAGGTTGCACTACTACAAGCATGTAGGGCATGTGTGCGTGATCACTGGTCGCTTGTCGCGTACGTGCGGCTAGACTGGAAAAAACCGGTTATGCTGGCACAACCAGTGGACAATCTTAGGGTCAGTGTGAGGCACATGTTTGTTTTGTTAGTTGCAAGTTTGAATATTTTAATGTAAAAATGTGGTATTATTAATAATGGTTGTTTATTGTACTGTGTAAGTATAACACTAGAAAAAAATCATACTTTAACTATCCCAAGGAGTACAATAGGTAAGTAAAAATTTGACTGCCTCGTTAGTCTAGTAGTTGTAGTAGTGCGACTGCTGATCATGAGGTCCTGGGTTCAAATCCCAGGTGGGGACAAAAAATTAACTATTGAGTTTTTCTGTGAAGAAATTCTCAGTAGCTGCCCGGAATCAGGAAGTTGGCGGTGCCTTACCCACGTGCCTCGGAAAGCACGTAAAGCCGTTGGTCCTGCGCCTGATCTCTCTCCGGTCGTGTCGGTTTGCCGTTCCATTGGAATATGAGAGTGATGAAATAGAGAGTGCACCTGTGCTTGCGCATACACTTGGGCACTATAATCCTGTCCTGCGCCGATGGCTAGTCTCCGTTGAGGCTGACCGCCGTGTCCGAAATTCGGTCTGGAGGTTTTGTTGTTTTTTTTAAATATTTGACTATTACTTTCTCAAGTAAGTAACCTTTATTTTATTTTATGATCCTTTTTTTTAATAAGAAGAGGGTACTACACGGTATATTTTTACCTTTTTGTTGTTAGTAAGTACAAGCTTTAACTAAATATTTGTAGGTATGTATGTGTGTTAAGTTCACATATTGCACACAGGATGTCTCCTCACTAGGAAACTCCTCAAAGGATAGTAGCAGGGTCATGTAATTTTGTATGTTAGTGTAATTTTGATAGTTTAACACGATTTTTATCATGAACTTCTGCTGCAGCCCAGAATTGTCTCACTACAAGAGAACTCTTTAACGGTTAGTAGCATGGACTCGAAACTTTGTATTTAAATTTAATTTTGTTTGCTAAACATGATCTTCACCATAAACTGCTGCTGCATACAGGATAGTCTCCTCACGAGCGAACTCCTCATCAGCTATAGTGAACTTTATGTTATATTCAGAATTTATCATACCGTTAAAAGAAACAATAAATTATTAAAAAACAAACATAAAAATAAAATTATTAGAGTAGTTAATTAATTTGTAAAGTATTCTATCATATCATACTGAATAACAAAACTATTTAACGAATGTTTTGTTTAATTTGTCTTCACCTATTGTGACAGCCCTACCAAAATAGGTAACAATTTCGTACGTTCTTACATTCTCTCTGTTTCGTTTATCTACTCATGTGACTGCGTCACGAAGCCGTCTCTTTTAGTAAGGATTTGAACTACAGCTATATTATAACTACAATACACTGCCGCAACATTTGTTTGGCTTCACTAGGACAGAACCAGAACTTCAGCGTAAAATAGCAGCTTTTATTGGTAACAAGGCATTTTATCTTAGTCCTCTGGGATGACAATGCATCTGCATTTGGATTTTTAATTGTTGGTAGATGTAGGTGTCTATGGGCCGCAGCATGCACTTACCATACATAGCGTGCTCGTTTGTCATCCTCATTGTTTAAAAAGAATCTTACTTCATAATTTGTATTGTATGCGCGTGTAAGTACGTGTGTGCGTGCGTGCGTTTTATGTGAGATAAGCAAAAAAGCTTATTCTTTTAAAACGTTTCCTGAAAACAAAACACCAAATTTGTAGAAAGAAACCAAAAAAAAAAAGTCTGTCAAATGTGTGACATTTTTTTGACTTGTTATGTTCAATATCTATGGGTATGTTCCGAAACGTTTTCAGTATACTGGCGAATACAAATGACGTCATCAATTGACACTACATTGTACTGGCGCGCCACCGCCATATTGTGTCGGATATCCGGCCAAAATAAAACAATTTTAATTGTGTGTGCGCTGAATGAAGCATGCCAGAATTTGTTTTTATTTATTCAAATACAAAAAATTATAGAATAATTGCTGGTACCTCCATTAGGAGGATATAATGATTTTTTGAGCACAAAATGACAAAATAATCACCAACACTTTTCCAATATGGCGCAAATGTATGACGTCATATACTGTCCTATGTTTTGGAACGAATCACCAGTGTAGAGTCCGTTCATGACGTCATTTGCATTGGACAGTACACTGGGTTCTATTTTGGAACATATCCTATATATCATTTTAAAACAAAGTACATTGTAGTCATAAAATAAACTATATACAACATCTGATGCAATGATATTTTTATCATAGCAATTGTGTGGAACTTTCATTTAAATACCATATTTTTTGTTTATTGCAGATTGGATCGTTCCTTTTGGAGTGGCTCCCTCAGATCCAGCAGCCATCTCAAATTATAGAGTTCCTGCAGCTGATCATCAATGTTGTCAAATTCAACGCCACCTACTTAGATGAGGAGATTGTACATGGAATTGTCAAGTGTGTACCTATTTTTGAACATACTTTAAAAATTATTTTCGTAATATATAAATTTCAGTTGATTCTACGCATTACCTTTTATAAACGGAAGTATTTACGTGGTAGAGCCATGCTTCAGTTAAATTATTGTTGTAACATAAATGGGTCGGCTCGACCGGGGAAGGACCACGCTCTCATAGAATACCAGCGTAAAATAGCAACTTAATGCTGCTGTGTTTCGTATGGTGAGTGTAGAGAACCGGAGACCCATTTTACTGTAATCGAGGCATTCCAATTTTAGTCCTCAAGGGTGACAACGCATCTGCATTTTGATTCTTAATCCAGGTTAAATGTAGATGCTTATGGGCTACAGCATCCACTTACCATCAGGTGGACTGTGTGCTTGTTTGTCACCCTTATCCTATAAAAAAAGTAATATCATCATTTTTTGTTTATTTTCTGACCAGTCTAATTAAGTTCTATATCTGTAATATTTATTATATTTTCTGGTCTAATACTTGAACCCCGCGTTAACCCGAAATCAGTTATTGGGTTTTCCTGTAAAGAAATTCCCAGTAGCAACTAGTCAAGAATTTTCTGATGTTTCACCTCCATGCTTTGGAAAACACGTAAAGCCGTTGTTAGCCTTGCCTCAGATATCTCTAGTCATGTCGAATTGCTGTCCCATCAGAGAGCGGAAGTGAATGGATTTAGAGTGCAATATAGTACACAAGTGTGTGCGCAAGCACAGGACAGGACAGCGCAGGAAAGAAGCCATTGCTGAGACCGAAATTAGATCTAGACGATAGTGTCATTTTAATGCTTGCTTATAGTAGAGTTGGTACTTGTTTTTGCCTCATTTTTAATTAATTTTCTTTTTTTCCATCTTACAGCAACGCATGTTACCTGTGTGTGTACTCTGCTGACCCCGGAGTGGTTCAATGTTGCCTCTCCTTACTGGAGGCTGTCGTGTCATACTCTTTGTTGCCCCGTACCGCGCTCAGGACTTTCGTAGCGGCTTTGTGCCGCACTGTCAACATTGAACAGTATTGTCAAAACAGCTGGAAGGTAAGGAAATTAATCAGTAATCACCTCATGCTTTAATTATTTGGTAGTCAAGGACATTACATTTTAAAATGAGTAAAACAAGATAAGCCTATATGTCTCTGCTGGGCACAGGCCATCTCTTATACGAGAGAGAAAGAGTTATGGAGAAATTTGTCTGCCATACAGCTCCAATGACTTCACATGCCCCTCATATATTTGATTCCCCAGATAATATATGGTTTCCTTAGGACCTGCATCTATTGACTTCCAACATGACGGAGTGAGAACTGATAACCTGTTAAGATACCAGGTTAATTGTATTTGCATATAATTTAAGAACTTAAGGATGTAATAAAATATCTGTATTGAAAAATTAATGCAAAGAACTAATGTGTAACCTTATGTTATATTAATAAATAATTTATTACTTTGCAACCTTCCGCTAACTAATTACAATGATGTGTCTTACCTGGATTGAAGAGCACCTCCTGCCAGGTAAGACACATCATTGTAATTAGTTAACGGAAGGTTGCAAAGTAATAAATTATTTATTATAATGGATTTCCGCAAAGTAACGCCTGATTCTATCAATTATCTTATGTTATATTATTGTGTCTTGAACCCTTTGAGTGATTGTGTTTGTCCATTCAAAATCAAATTTTTGATAGGCCAGGGCTGTGTCTGTTGCGTTTCGATTTACGGTAGAATTCAACAAAAGGAAAAACCTGCAATAAGTATAAATTATCTATTGCTATAGTAATCGTGTTTATTTGTCAGCTAATGCGGTACGTCGTGGGAGCGGACATCGGGCACGCCGCTCTGCAAGAGATGGTGGACATTTTGCGTGCGGCGGGAGAGGATGCGGAAGCTGAAGCGGCAGCGGGAGTGGACGCCGAAGCGGATGCTGGGCTGCTTCGCGGTGCGGTCTTCTACATCAACATGGCGCTCTGGGGACCGCGGAGGGTACACACCCTCAAAGTCTCCTTCCTCGCTGTCCTACCAGCGTTCCTCAAGGTTAGTCAATTGTTTCCCTTACACTCTGTTACAAGTACACTTATGAATGTCTCACAGGACTTGGGAGATTGCCAAAGTACACGCTTGAGCCAACTGTATCCGTCAATGTATCCTTGCATGTTCCATAAGATTGACATTCTAAATACAATTGAGTGAGCATTATGGGGCTATTATACTCAGGTATTTTGTACAAGTGTCCCTTCATTGTCATAGTCAAGCCGTTCCATTAATATTATTCTCAGAAGAGACTACGGATTAACTAAACGGTTACTAGGATGGCTGATTTATGATATATCTAGTAAATCACTTATATAAATGGGATGGAACTGGTATGCCTATGTGACGTTGGTGTGTTTGGTAAGTACAGCCACACCAAACGCTCCGACGTCATGTAAGCGGTCTGGCTCCATGTAGGATGTCGCCTCTTATACTTATATTAGCACAGGTATAATACAGCTGTAGCGATTTATAGTGTAAAAATGTGAAAAAATGCTTTTTTTATCCGGCAGGCAATAAGCGGGAAGCAGGCTGCACCCGTCGTGATCTATGAGGTGGTGGTGGCATTGCAGAGCTTGGTCACCCGATTGCCTCATGAACTCTACGAACCAGCCTGGAATGTTCTGCTGCGTATCATACATGTTATACTGGAACATGACAGTGAGTGTACAAAGTGCATTCTTAATTAAGCTAGAAGGCACTAGGTCGAATGACTTCTTGTCTGTCTAGAGGTCCATTTGGAGAAATACCACCATCATACCTGCTTCTGCCGCCAAGAATGCACTGTCGTGTTCCGATCTGAAGGGTACACAGTCTGCCTGTAGGTAAGTGGATGCTGTAAACCATAGACATCTACATTAGTCCCTGATTAAGAATCAAAATGCAGATGCATTTTCACCCCTGAGGACTGAGATGGAATGCCTCGTTTCCAGTAGAAAAGGGACTCCGGATCTCTACACGCACCATACGAAACACAGTATTCTATTAGAATGTGGGACTCCGGTCGAGCCTACCCATTCGTGCTACAACCATAATATAGCGGCAGCGTGACTCTACCACATGTAAAAATCCCATCTGTAGCTTTCTTTGTTTGAAGTTGGCTATAAGGCGTTCAATATACTGTAGTATCCACTTACGCTTGATCGTTATAGACTACTGCAAAAAATGAACACCTGCAATCGACTTCAAATAACCTTCAAATGTGTTATCACCTCTGAGTATTAACATGAAATGAAATGGAAGATTTATTTGTTTTGAAAAAGGGTATATTTAGGTGGTTATTGTAAAGTGTAGTTCAGCTTTTTAGCCATCTATGGATAGCATGCAAATACATTTTTTATAATTAGGTTTTCCTATATTAAAATATCGAATTCAATTAAAATATTCATCATAAAATAGTCGTCGTTTACAAATTACCAATACTAATACTACATACAAATCTAAAAATAATTAAAATTGAAAATGCAATTAAAAATATAGATGGAATGGATGGAATGACTCATCTAATTGAAACTATGAATGATCTTCAAAACTACACATCCAATGACTTAAAATGTGTTTTTTTTTTCTTATAATTTGCTCCTTTCTCGACGTAGACACTCACTAAGAAAGGATTTTGGACAATTCAACCCTTGAGGGGGTGAAATAGGGTGTTACAGCATGTAGTTTACAATTATACTGGGTCGCTATATCCGGCACCCACTAAGAAAGGATTTTGGATAATTCAACCCTTGAGGGGGTGAAATAGGGTGTTACAGCTTGTAGTTTATAATTATATACCTAATCGCTATATCCTTCAGATCTAGAACACAGCAGTGCAAGCCTTACCGTTTGGCAACAGAAATACAAATTATTCATCATTGCATAGTGTTATAATAACTCGATCAGAAATAAGAGACCTAATAAAAAACTACAGTAGTCTAACCGCTTTCTGTGTGTGGCAACTTTTCAAATATTCCTATGAGTGCAATGTATGAGGGAGGCCTGTGTTCAGCTGTGGAACTTCGATGGGTTGTAATGAATGAATGTGATAGCTGTGACACGTCATATGTGTGCTCGGTTTCCAGCACATTAACTAACTTTAATTCTACATATTTTTATTGTTATGTATTTTTATTACAAGAACGTTTTGATAATCTATGGGTGTATTCTTTTTTATTTTTACTCGACTGCCTCAGAAGAGGTTAATATTTTTCGTGTGTATATATGTATGTATGTTGGTCTAATTCTTTAGCACACTGTAGCCTAAAGGGCTTGATGGCTTTTAAACTGCGAGGTGTCGTTGGATTCCGTCTTAATTATTGAAGTGATGTAGGCTATATAATATTTATATATTGCATCTGCAAATACAAAAAAAGGAGGGAAATTTTTTTCAGTAAACTTTTTAATGCAGTCAGGTTTTTTAAATTCCTGTTTTAATCATAAAGCTTGTTGATTAGGAGTAATGTACCATTAGAATAATTTATCGCTAAAAACAGACGAAAAAAAAAATACGCCTGAGGATATGATAGGAAAGAGGTTTTTTCTCCGTACAGAGGAACCACATTTTGTAATGGTAGTAGTTAAAAAAAAACAAATTTACATTTACGAACGAACTTTTAATATCTTACGTCAGAAACTAGTCTTCATATAATTTAGATTAAAAAAAGAGTATTGTTTTCTTTTTGTTTCTTTTTTTATATTGATATGTTTGTGTTGTTGTGCAGAATCATTGGATCCAGGCAACGAGCTGATCCACTCGCGCGTGCACGCTCTCATCTCGTCGCTGGAGGCGCTGCAGGAGTCTGGCCAGTACCGCGGCGACCCGGACGCACTGCTGGACCTGCTGGACTGCTGCGTGCACGACCGCCCGGTCAGTCACATTACATTGCAGTACCGCGGCGACTGCAGTATCGGTCGCACTGCTGGACCTGCTGGACTGCTGCGTGCACGACCGCCCGGTCAGTCACATTACATTGCAGTACCGCGGCGACTGCAGTATCGGACGCACTGCTGGACCTGCTGGACTGCTGCGTGCACGACCGCCCGGTCAGTCACATTACATTCCAGTAACGCGGCGACTGCAGTATCGGACGCACTGCTGGACCTGCTGGACTCTGCGTGCACGACCGCCCGGTCAGTCACATTACATTGCAGTACCGCGGCGACTGCAGTATCGGACGCACTGCTGGACCTGCTGGACTGCTGCGTGCACGACCGCCCGGTCAGTCACATTACATTGCAGTACCGCGGCGACTGCAGTATCGGACGCACTGCTGGACCTGCTGGACTGCTGCGTGCACGACCGCCCGGTCAGTCACATTACATTCCAGTAACGCGGCGACTGCAGTATCGGACGCACTGCTGGACCTGCTGGACTGCTGCGTGCACGACCGCCCGGTCAGTCACATTACATTGCAGTACCGCGGCGACTGCGTATCGGACGCACTGCTGGACCTGCTGGACTGCTGCGTGCACGACCGCCCGGTCAGTCACATTACATTGCAGTACCGCGGCGACTGCAGTATCGGACGCACTGCTGGACCTGCTGGACTGCTGCGTGCACGACCGCCCGGTCAGTCACATTACATTCCAGTAACGCGGCGACTGCAGTATCGGACGCACTGCTGGACCTGCTGGACTGCTGCGTGCACGACCGCCCGGTCAGTCACATTACATTGCAGTACCGCGGCGACTGCAGTATCGGACGCACTGCTGGACCTGCTGGACTGCTGCGTGCACGACCGCCCGGTCAGTCACATTACATTGCAGTACCGCGGCGACTGCAGTATCGGACGCACTGCTGGACCTGCTGGACTGCTGCGTGTACGACCGCCCGGTCAGTTACATAACATTGCAGTACCGCGGCGACTGCAGTATCGGACGCACTGCTGGACCTGCTGGACTGCTGCGTGCACGACCGCCCGGTCAGTCACATTACATTGCAGTACCGCGGCGACTGCAGTATCGGACGCACTGCTGGACCTGCTGGACTGCTGCGTGCACGACCGCCCGGTCAGTCACATTACATTGCAGTACCGCGGCGACTGCAGTATCGGACGCACTGCTGGACCTGCTGGACTGCTGCGTGCACGACCGCCCGGTCAGTTACATAACATTGCAGTAACGCGGCGTCTGCAGTATCGGACGCACTGCTGGACCTGCTGGACTGCTGCGTGCACGACCGCCCGGTCAGTCACATTACATTCCAGTACCGCGGCGACTGCAGTATCGGACGCACTGCTGGACCTGCTGGACTGCTGCGTGCACGACCGCCCGGTCAGTCACATTACATTCCAGTAACGCGGCGACTGCAGTATCGGACGCACTGCTGGACCTGCTGGACTGCTGCGTGTACGACCGCCCGGTCAGTCACATAACATTGCAGTAACGCGGCGACTGCAGTATCGGACGCACTGCTGGACCTGCTGGACTGCTGCGTGCACGACCGCCCGGTCAGTCACATTACATTGCAGTACCGCGGCGACTGCAGTATCGGACGCACTGCTGGACCTGCTGGACTGCTGCGTGCACGACCGCCCGGTCAGTCACATTACATTGCAGTACCGCGGCGACTGCAGTATCGGACGCACTGCTGGACCTGCTGGACTGCTGCGTGCACGACCGCCCGGTCAGTTACATAACATTCCAGTACCGCGGCGACTGCAGTATCGGACGCACTGCTGGACCTGCTGGACTGCTGCGTGCACGACCGCCCGGTCAGTCACATTACATTGCAGTAACGCGGCGACTGCAGTATCGGACGCACTGCTGGACCTGCTGGACTGCTGCGTGCACGACCGCCCGGTCAGTTACATAACATTGCAGTACTGCGGCGTCTGCAGTATCGGATTTACTGCTGAACCTGCTGCAGAATATTGACCCTCTCTTAAAGGTGTGGTCACGGAGTGTATTTGTATGACGCCTTAGGTTCTGAAGTTTTTTTGGAGTTGAATTATTGCTTTAGCAATATACGCAAGAAAACAGAATTATTCTTTGCTCCAAAAAATGGTTCAACGTAAATTGAGCGATGAACCCATTGTGCTGCAAACGAGTAATATTTTATATTAATTTTAATTTGCATTGGATCTTATTGCATAAAACGATCACGGTGCCTAGGCATGAGTACACAATGGCACCATAAAACAAACGTTGTAAATGACTTATATTGATGTATGGTAATTGATTCCAAAAAATATTTGGTGTAAGTGAGAGAAGAGTCATAAAATTACACGTGGTAAAATGTACCATGTGCATTTCTCGAGATTTGAGCCGTATAACCGCAAGGTTGGTGTTGTCGTGGAAGTTGTAGGGTTGTGCGTAACATTGAATAGAAACGTTGTGTGACGTGCGCGTGTTTGTGCGCAGGAGGCGTCCGCGCTGCGTTTGGTGTCGGCACGCGTGGGCGCCCTGAGCGGCGGGGGGCGGGGGGCGGGGTGGGCGCGGGCGCGGGCGCGGCGCTGCGGCTCGCCGAGCGCTACCTGCGGCGCGATGCGCGGCTGCCCGTGCGTCTGCACGCCTTCGCCGCGCTGCTCGCGTACGTGCGCCGCAACAGGTACGTGCTGAACTCGCGCAAACACTTCTAAGTAGTATAGGAACACAATATAGGTCACGGCCGGCGTAAGGTCTTTAGATCGCATGTTCGGTGCCCTACGTCGTGCCCATACTTATTAATTTAATTCATCATAGACATTTATGGACTTAACAAAACTAAATTATTTAGATACAGTATTCTTACGTATAGGTAGGATGGGATGATATGTAGTGTCCTTCCTATGTAAGAACCTTCGGCTTCAAGCAAATGTCAAAATTAAATGAACTAATGATTTCTTATATTTACGCGAACACTACACGTTAGTTTAAACTACTTTTACGGATTTTATCGCGTTTAATTTTAATTTTAATTGTTTTTATTTTTCATTCCCGACGTTTCGGTTGCTATGACCATGGGTGCTGGAAAACACCCTAAACGTCGGGAATTAGAAATAAAAATAATTAAAATTAAAATTAAACGCGATAAAATCCATGAAAGTAGTTTTAACCAATTAAATGAACTGTTACAAAAGAGCGTGAGTGCGAGGGACATGGCCACACGCGAGAGACATTATTGGGGGCTTGCTCCAATCGGCCCAGCGTAATATAGGTTTAATAAAGTCTTGAATTTTTTTGAATTTATAAACCTTCGGTTTCTACTACTAAACAGACTGCGCCCATAATACGTAACACAAAAAGGTTATTTATTTATATATTTTATTCGAAACGCCAACAACTTTTCTGTTCTTATGTGTAGTATACATAGTCACTTATTGCAAAATGGTAAATATCCGTAATTATTAAAATGCATTCACATATGAAAATTAAAATATATATAGAGCAACAAAATTTACATCAAAACCAATTCAATTAATTAATAATACAAACTAGGTGTTCCCCCCCACCTAAAATTAATTTGACTTATTACAGTTCCCACAATTCTGCGTGTCTCCTTGACACTACTGCAAGCGGCTCAAACCACTATTTCTTTGTTTGTAACAAAGTATGTAGTTTATTTTTTTCTACAATTTGACACCGATTTCATTTAAAATAATAAAGAAAACGCTGTAATTATTTATGTGCGTGCTTTGTCAATGTGATTTGAAGTTTATTTCAGAACCTTATTTCGTATTCGTCTTAAAACAGTAACTGCGACAAATAAAAAAACAAACAGCTGCTACCCACCCGCGCCATCAACAGCTGTGTCGTGGTTTTGTTCCTTAATTAACGGTCTAGTAATATACGTGGTCTTTGGGTACAATGTTGTTGTCTACTTAAACTATACCCTGTCACTCCGTCTTCAGAGCAGGGGTTGAAAGCGGTAAAGGTATAAGGGTATGGTACCGGTATAGAATTACGATACAGCTTCGATTTAAAGGTAGAACCAAAACGGTTGAGAATTACGGTTGTGGTACCGTTAAAAAAGAATTATACCTATATTTTTTTACGGTATCGTTATACCTATATTTTACTAATACCTTTACCGAAATAATTTCGGTACCGAAAAAATTGAGTATTTTAGGCTTATTTATATGTATTGTGTCTCGGACCTTGCTTAACGTTATGAGACTCATTCTATTTGGATTTCCTATGTTACTATATTTCATGTTCGGAGAAAATAAAACATCTTTATCATATTTGTATTTTTATTTATTATCAGTAAAGTATTTAATTAAAAACGTAATATTATGTTTAACATGTGGGTAACAATTCTTAACCTAGCTCTTCAGAATCAGTTAAAGGAACATCTTTAAAGTGCTTCCCTTCGAAGGGATGTAGGAATACTAATATTTTTGAGTACACACGGGCTTGCATACAAGTTTTTATATTTTGCATCCGTTTTTTATAACATTTGCCGGCCTTGAGAGCGATCGAATAAAGAACGCTAAGCTAAAAATTACTGCCGTGTAGTGGCGGTTAAGAATCCCCGTGGGTGTCGTAAAAGGCGACAGAGGGAAGGCGGCAGGGGATGGGCAGCAGCATCTTCCTGATAACATCAATTGTACAACAAAAAAAAACTGCAGTTGCCAACCCACTCGTAAAGCGTGGCAACTATGGAAATGCCCCCCACGAGCAACGACACAAGTAAACGGCCCCCAGTTCCACGGCGGCCGCGCTATTCCTGGCTAGGTGGCGAACATGGTAAAGGCGGGAGAGGGGTGCTAAGAATCTCCGGTGAAGTATCGATTGCCACCTAAGACGATTCGACTTGGCAACAAACAACGGACGCACCCTGAGGACTACCAAGAAGATCCTGGAGCTGGAAGAAGAGATAGACAAGTAGCGCTTGAATATTAAAGGATCATCCGCGGTCCGAAGAGAGGAGGAGGACACGGTGATTCTTGAATCCGGCAGCTTGTTCTATCACCGGGAGGGCGACCATTCTGTCCCAAGGAGGTGTTGGATTTATAGTCCACAAGTCTCTCGTTAACAACCTTGTAAAGATTGGTAGTGTGTCGACGAAGGTTGCGTACCTCATATTCAGAATCACCAAACGGTATCCAAGGTCATACAGGTCTACGCACCAACATCTATTACATTTTTAAATATTCTCTACGATATTTCTAGAGCCATGCATTCTTATAAAAACCACTATACGGTGTTAATGGGAGACTTCAACGCAAAACTAAGCAAAAGGAAGAAAGGTGAGCTGACGATAGGTAAATTTGGGTTAGGGCAACGGAACACAGGGGCCAGCAGCTGGCCGACTTCATGGAGAAGGAGGGACTGTTTATAATGAACTCTTTTTTCCTGAAGCGGCTCCACAGAAAGTGGACCTGGTCGAGCCCCGATAGTACGATAAAAAATGAGATTGACTTTATTATGAAGACGAGACGGTAACTGTTCAGTGATGTCTCACTGATCGCAAGGATGAAAACTGGCAGTGATCACCGAATGGTTAAAGGTACACTGAACCTAAACGTTAAGTTGAAGAGGTCTCGTCTAAAAAAGTCAACGCTCCGTCCCCCTCGTGCTCTAATCCAGAATCCCGAAACCTTTCAACTCGAGTTACGTAACCGCTTTCAGTGCCTAGAAGATTGCAATGCAGTGGACGATATGCATGACAAGCTCGTGGAAACTGTCCATGCGCTCGGAGCTAAGTTCTGCAAGACCCGCCGCAGAAGAACACAAAAACTCTCCGATCACACTCTTAATCTCATGGCTGTTAGACGGGGAGATGAGGCTGCAATCGTCAACAGATTTGACAGCATACAGGCAACTGAACAGACAGATCTCCAAATGCATGCGGCGAGACTTACGCAACTTTAATATTGCTCGTATTGAAGAAGCGATCGAATGGAACCAGGGCTCCAAAGTCTTTGAAGAATGAATGTGGCAACACCGTTTCCGGGACACCTGAGATTTTGAGTGAGATTGAGAGTTTCTATGAGCTGCTGAACACATTATCGCTGGAGCCATACGCAAGTGTGAGTAACGATTCAAGAGCAAGTCTAATCCGACACTATTCCGATGATATACCGAAAGTCAGTCTGAGCAAGAAAAGAAGGCTCTCTATCACGTTAAAAACGGCAATGCCCCAGGTGAAGATTGAATTACAGCGGAGTTTTTGAAAGCGGGCGGAAAACCGGTACTTAAAGTCCTTCAAAATCTCTTCAATTTCGTCCTTCATGGTGGCACTACTCGGAGGCTTGATGCAGAAGTGCAGTGCTCTTGTTTTTAAAGAAAGGCGATTACGCTCTCTTGAAGAACTACAGACCGATTTCCCTTCTGAGCCACGTCTGCGTGCCGTTTTCGAGAGTCATTACGAATCGTCTCGCACGCAGGCTCGACGACTCCCAGCCTCCCGAAAAAAGCCGGTTTCCGAAAAGGCTTCAGTACCATAGATCACATACATACCCTGCGGCAGATTGACGGAAGACCGAAGAGTACAATCTGCCACTTTACCTGGCGTATACCGCCAACCGGTAACAACCGTAACCGTATATGAGAAAGCATTTGATTCCGTCGAAATTTGGGCGTTGCTACAGTCCCTTCAGCGGTGCCAAGTTGACTGTCGGTATATCGAAGTGCTGAAGTGTTTGTACAGTAGGGCTACGATGCTAAGTGCTGTTTTCGAGTCATTACGAATCATATTCAACTGCAGAGAGGTGTAAGACAGGTTGACGTTATATCACCCATACTCTTCACCGCCGCATTGGAAGATGTTTTCAAGCTACTGAATTGGAAAGGTATTAACATCAATGGCGAGTACATTACTCACATTCGATTTGCCGACGATATAGTCTTTATGGTGGAATCGCTGGTGGATCTAAGCAATATACTCAATGATCTCAATAGTGTATCCCAACGTATATGCTTTAAGATGAACATGGACAAAACAAAGATCATGTGTAATGTTCATGTCACGCCTATGCTGGTAGTTGTTGGGAGCACTAAGCTCAAAGTTGTTGACGAGTACGTTTGCCTGGGACAAATAGTCCGACCAGGTAAGTCTAACTTCGACCGAGAAGTCTTCAGGAGATTTCAACTCGATTGGGCAGCGTTCGAGAAATTACGACACATCTTCTCGTGAGGTATACCTCAAAACCTAAAAACTAGATTGTACACCAGTGCATGTTGCCAGCGATGACTTACGGATCTGAGACATGTTCCTTTAACTGCTGGCCGTATGAGGACGATCATGGTCGCTCAGCAAGCTATGAAGAGGGCTTTGCTCGGGGTTTCTCTGCGCGATAAACTTAGAAACTGCAGTAGAACCAGGGCAATCGACATAGCCTAATGTATTAGTAAGCTGAAGGGGCAATGGGTCGGCCATTCGGCCCGAAGAACCGATAACTGATGGGGAAAAAAGGTTCTCGAGTGGCAGTCTCGTACCGGTAGGCGTAGTGTAGGCCTACTAGACGGAATGATGACCTGGTAAGACATGCAGGAAGTCGATGGATGCAGGTGGCTCAGGACCGTGCTTTGTGGCATTACTTGGGGGAGGCCTATGTTCAGCAGTGGACTTGTGAAGGGATATAATGATGATAATGATAAAGCTAAAAATGTCATTTCTTTGATCCTTTTCTTCTCGTTGGATAGCCATGCAATGGAAACATTCACAGCGATGTTTATCTTTCTCCGGGTGTTTTTCTACTTTAGGGTGTAGAGCAGAAGGAGTCCTTGGTCGTTCCGAATTCACAAAAATATCTAGGGAATGATGGTGCTTATTCTGACACATGATGACTGGTTCTGAAATAAATCACATTCAATCATATCATCACTCACAACTCGAAAAATTACGTTCGTTCGGCCTCAATCTAAAAAGTATAAAGATATACAATGTTGTATAATATCGTCAAGAAATGCTTAATGAGTTTGTACCTACTTTTATCCATCTTTACGACAATCTAATTGTAAAGTTATAACAAAGCACACATTATAACAAGCAGTTCACTCGGTAAGATTATGGAACTCACTACCGTCAAATATAAGAAATTCCGAAACTTTGTTGGTGTTCAAGAAATGTCTTAGAGATAACTACTTTGCATCCTGTTAATTTATATATATATATTATTCTATTATATTAGTTTTAGTTTATGTATATCATATGTAACTATCGTATTTATTATTATTATTATTTATTGATTTATTTTATTTTTATTTATTGTTTTATTTTATATAATTTCCTTTATGGGTCTACTGGAGGATATTTCAGCTAATTTGGAATAAGTAGAACCTTTGTACGAAATTACTATAAGACTGCTTCTGTATCTTAATTTGTGTACATAAAATAAATTAAAAAAAAAAGCACACTTGTGATTAAGTTGACAAAGTATACGCGGAAACATGAATGGCGGCAATATGGCAAAACAATCTACTTTGTTTAGCTGCCGAGACACGAATATCCGTAAATTTTCGATCAAGTACCTACTCTCTTACAAATGCGGCCGACACTGCGTGAAGCCTCGGTGCGAGCGGCGGCGTACAATTTCTTTGTTTATACTTTATACCTTTATTTTATAATTTAGATACTTGAAAAAGTAATGGTACAGTTACTTTAAGGTATAGTAATTTAAAGGTACCTTTATTTTAAGGTATCGAAATTTAAAGGTATGACGTCATACCGCTTATCGTCTGTACCATAATTTTTTCGGTTATTCAATCCCTGCTTCAGAGCACTGCTCGCACGCTGGTTAGCGCAACTGATTGGATATTAGTTATCGTAAGGAGACAACGCCGTATCGGAAATCTGATTATTACATAATTACTGGACGTTTCATTCATCGTCATCATAAGTGCTCAATTTATATATAGCCATGAGTTCGATAAAGCTGTAAAAGTCTACCGACTATCAGGCATTATCTCGGTTTGGGTCAATTTTTCTATTAAAAAAATCTCATACGCGTGCTTTGTAAAGCACGTAAGGTTGTTGGTCCTGCGCCTGATCTCACTTTGGTCGTGTCAAATCACTGACCTATTGAACTATGAAAGTGTTGGAAATGAGAAAGTCATGTGTGCACGCACATTAGATGTTCCCTGTTTTGCGCACATTAGATGGCTATACTAATGTTAAACACACGCTGCACGCGGTGCAATACAATGGGTAAACAGGTCGCCGCCTGTTGCGTTTTGTGCTCTCTGTCGCCTTACTGCAGGCCTGCCGATTCCCCATTAAATGGTGCTTAACATTAGTATAATCACTGTTGAGACTTGCGGAATGGAGGACATTATTATTAGAATACAATAAAATAATTTTTATTATAAATTACATCATCGTCATTATTACAGGCCTTCATAAATCTACTGCTGAACATAAGTCTGCCTCCCCCCCCCCCCTTAGCACTGTTCTCAGCTAATTGTATCCACAGACTTCCTACATGTTTTACCAGGTTGTCGTTCCATCTCGTCGGGGGCTGTGCTACACTTCGCCTACCGGTTCGCCTGTCGGTTCTTCGAGCTATATGGCTGGCCCATTGCCACTTCAGCTTACTAATTTGTTGGGCTCTGTCGGTCACTTTGGTTATACTGCGGATATCCGCATTTCTAAGTTTATCACTCAGAGAACCTCCGAGCATAGCCCTCTCCATAGCTCGCTTCGTGATCTTGAACTTCCTCATACGGTCAGCAATGAAGCAAAAACGTCTCCTATCATTAGGTCATCAGTCACTGGCTTCACGCACTGGTTGTACAATGTTGTTCTCAAGTTTTGAGGTATATGTGACGAGAAGATGTGTTGTAATTTCCCGAACACTGCCCAGCCGAGTTGAATCCGTCGATTGACCTCGCGGTCAAAGTTGAATACCTAGTCGTGCTATTTGTCCCAGGTAAACATACTCGTCAATAATCGTAATGCTCCCAAAAACTACCGGTTTAGGTTGGATGTTACACATGGTATTTGTTTTGTCCATGTTCCTTCTTAAGAAAATAACCTATCCTTTGAAAAGCATCATTGAGGTCATTGAGAATAGTGCTTAGGTATTTCAGCGATTCTGCCGTAAGGACTATGTCGTCAGCAAATCGAAGGTGAGTAATGTACTCGCCATTGATGTTAATACCGTATTCTTTCCAGTCCAGAAGCTTGAAAACGTATTCCAATGCAGTGGTAAAGACTTGGACATATAACATCACCCTGTCTTACCACCTCTCTGCAGTTGGATAGGTTTCGTACTCTGGTTCTGTACTCGGATAGCCATCGCAGCCCTACTGTACAAACATTTCAGCACTTCGACGTACCTACAGTAAAGTTGGCCCGCTGAAGAAACCCAGCACCGCTTAAATTTCGACTAAATGAAAGGTTTTCTCATAGTCTACATATGCAAGACATAGTGGGAGATTGTACTCCTCGCACTTCTGTACAATTTCTCGAAGGAGTATGTATGTGGTCTATGGTATTAAAAAAGCCTTTTCGGAAACTGGCTTGTTCGGGATGTTGGAATTCATTGAGTGGTTGTTATATATAATATATTATCATTTTTATTATAATACAGATTATAAGTAATTTTTACTTTGTTGTTTATTTACTTTTATTTATGTCCCGTAAATACAGGACATTTTGGAATGTTATAGATGGGGTACGGTGCCATTTTTTATATCTCATAGTTTCCTACTACTCGGAACTATTGTGTCGTAGTCGAAATAGTTGAGGATATGGCTTTTCACATGGTAGTGTCACGCTGCAGCTATATTACGGTTGTAGCACGAATGAGCTAACTCGACCGGGGAAGAACACACTCAAAATACCGGTGTGAAATAGCAGCTTAACGCTGCTGTGTTTGAAGTAACGGTGAAAGTAGAAAACCGGAGACCCTTTTTACTGGAAACGAAGCAATCCATCGGAGACCTCAGTGGTGACAACGCATCTGCATTTTCATTCTCGAGGATAAATGTAGATGTCCATGGGCCACAGTATTCACTTACCATCAGGTGGATTGTGTGCTTGATTATCAGCCTTATTCTATAACATAAAATAGAGAATGCACACGCTTTCGCATACAATCGGGCACTGTAGTCTTTGCCTTCACTTCATAATTATATTCAGTTCATATTTTCACGAGGTAGAGTCATGCTGCAGTTATATTAGTAGCATAGTTGTAGCACGAATGGGTCTGCTCGATCGGGGAAGGACCACGCTCTCACAGAAGACCAGCCTAAAATAGTAGCTTAATCCTGCTGTTTCGTATGGTGAGTGTAGAGATCTGGAGACCCTTATTACTGGAAATGAGGCGTTCCATCTTGGTCCTCACGGGTGAAAATTTTGATTCGTAATCGAGGATAGATGTAGATGTCTATGAGCCACAGCAACCACTTACCATCAGGTGGACTGTGTGCTCGTTTTTTACCCTATCCTATTAAAAAACTCGGAAGTTGCTTCGTAGGCGAAATCATCGAGGATATGATTATCAGCGGTATTTTGGTACGTGCAGGTGCGCTCACGGCGAGGAGCTGGCGGAGCGAGTGGGCGGCGCGATAGCGAGCGCGTGCGCGCTGGACGCGGAGGCCACACTACGCGCCGCCGCGGCCCGCGCGCTCCCCGAGTTGGCGCGCCTCTGCTCGCCGGACGCCTGCACCGACTTCATAGATCTGCTGGAGAAGGTACGCTGCAGCCCCGCCATGCGGCACCCCTGCCCTACCGCTGCGCGCTGGACTGCGACCTCCACATAGACTTGCTTGAAAAAATAAATATGTTGCTTCTCTTTGCATTTTCTTTCGCATATACCATGGGGAGTGCTCCGAGGAATTGTTCGGATTAATCCCAGCCGCCAAATTTCGTGAACGCACTACGCGGCAAACGTCGCGATACCATCCACACCATCTGGATGCTTGGCGGTCCACCCCTGTACGTTTTACAAGGAGTTTTCTTCCGCGTACGACCTCTCTGTGGAATGGTTTACCACCGGCGATTTTTCCGGACCGATACGACCTGGGGGGACCTTCAAGAAAAGAGCTTGCTCCTTTCTAAAGGGCCAGCAACGCACCTGCAATTCCCCTGGTGTTGCGGTTGATCACGGGCGGCGGTAGTCACTTAACGTCAGGTGAGCCGCATGCTCGTTTGCCCCCTCTTCTATAAAAACAAAAAACGGCAGCCCAGCAGTTCAGCACCCGCTGTCGCCATGACAGTAATAGGACTCTTTCTAAACCTTATGCAAAAAACTTCTTCATGACAATTTCAGTATGGAGTTTCTGTTAACTCACAGAAGTTAGACCTCAATCAGAGAGGAGGCCTCCGATGTGATGATGCAACTAATCAAAGTACTACTCTAAAATCGGCGTCTAATTTCATTGAAATAAGCAACCCAAATATCTAGTCTCGATGCTTGCTTGTCTCAATTTTAAATACCAAACAATCTACTTGATGATATAAGAGACAAAAAAACTTTAAATATTTAATAAAAATGCGGAATATTAAAAAGAACAGTACATTATTGGAATAAATTTTACCCTGTCCTAATTTCCAGATATTAAACCGGCCCTTCGAAATGTATGTGACGGATGTACCGATCCCCGCGGACGCGGACACGAGTGACCTGCGACTTGCGGTGAGCGGGTTGCTGGAGTTACTCCACGACAAACTGCTGCGCTCCCCGGGCACTCACGCCACCAGATGCTTGCTGGTGTTGATTGACCACCTGGACAACCACTATCGCCGACCTGCGCTGTTCATGCATCACCCTGATATTAGAATAAAGGTTTGTAGTTTAGTGAAATTGTTATATTGAGAGAATATAGAGAGAGTAATTATTTTTACGATACTGTTTTTTTTAAACTGAAACTTGTTTAGAATCGTGATTTGAAATTGGATGAAACGAAAAAGCGACACCAAAAAGAGACAATACATATATATATATATATATATATATATATGTGTGTGTGTGTGTGTGTGCGTGTGCGTGTGCGTGCGCGCGTTCGCGTGTGCGTGTGCGTGCGCGCGTGTGCGTGCGTGTGTGTGTGTGTGTGTGTGTGTGTGTGTGTGTGTGTGTGTATGTGTGTGCGTGTGCGTGTGCGGGCGCGCGTGCGTGCGCGCGCGTGTGTGTGTGTGTGTAGTATTTAGCCAATTTTATATTCAAGTACCTGGATGACCGAGCTTTCCTCGGTATTTTCTTTTTTTTTTGGGAATCGTATGTTTGGGAAATTATATTTAGATACAAATTACATACTGATGAAACATGAATAATATTTTTGGTCTTATTCACATAATAGAAAAAACTGAACTGGTTATTTGAATAAAAAATACGAGTGCAATTAGTTTAATTAAAATTTTGGTATTTTCAAAAAATACTAAAAAAAGGGCTCGAAATAATAGAGTTTCTACCAAAAGAAGGGAACTTGAAAAAAAGGAAAAAAGTCGGACCGAAGACAGGACGCGCACCAGAGCACTATGATTTCGCGACCGCTCGATATCCTCGACATCGAGCATAGACATCGAGCTCGATATCGAAGACAAGACGCGAACCAGGGCACTATGAAGTCGCGACGTCCCGATATACACTTGAGCTATTACGATCATTAATCTAGTGTTAAAATTTACCTTCTTATACTCGTATTATATCAGTTTTTCATTGCCTGAAAACACTTACAAAACGACATTTTTTTAAAAATGAATCCTAGCTCCATCGATTTATTGCCCCCGAAACCCCCTGGACACTAAATTTTTCGTTTCGTTTCCGAGATTCCGATTAAAATATATATATATATATATATATATATATATATATATATATATATATATATATATATATATATATATACATTATAATTTTAGTCATCAGTCAACATCATAAATAAAATAAAGACAATTAAAAAAACTTGATTTGAATGGATACTAGTTGGCGTGCAGTTGTCTCTCTCGGGTTGTCTAGTTTGGTATATCGAGTACAATTGTATCTGTTAAGAATCTGTTGTTCAAATTTCTTATTTCACAGCCTATTTGAAGTTCACTGCTCAACGTAGGGCTCTCCGACAGACTCACTCATCGAGATAATATTTGACATAGTTGACACACTGGGCAAGAGGGTTGGCAACCGCAGCTTTCAATTTTTACTGTTATTAATAATAAAGAGACGAAAAATAAAAAGCCTTTGATGATAGACGTTGAAAACTATTTTGTAAAATATCGAAATTTTTCGTATTTACACTGTGAATGGAAAAACGAAGAAGAGCTGTACAAAGGTGACAAACGAATATTTTCAAAAATAAAACGTTTTAACCAGAAACGAGCAGAGATGATGGACCATTTAATCCTGATTATGTAGAATTTGAAAGAATTCTGGATATGTCTGAGAATCAAGATCCAGGAAACAATACTGTGGTTAAACATTAAATAATAGAAATAAAAAAATAGAAAAGAAATATAGAAATAGAAAGGCGTACAATACGAAGACAGTACGTGGGAATTAGAAGAGGATATTGATGTTGACAAAATTCCGGTTCAATTGCCATCTATCGCCTCTTATTTACACTCAACAGATGACAGGGGGTACAGAATATTTTTACGCCGTCACTACACGGCTTTTAATTGGTAGGTACGGGTTTAGTCTATTCTGATATATCTTAACTAAATAGGGTGTATATATCAAGCAATATTAATGGTAAAAAAACTGTGCTTGTCATTTGTATCTTTTCATGTATTGCGTTGTAGTTACGATTTCTTATTTTTGTTTTCTTTCTTTGTTTGGAGCAAGTGTTAAGGGTCGGTGATGTGGTTACTTGCGCAGATCTTCGACATGCTGTTCGGGCTGCGGGCGAACGCGTTCAACTGCGTGGGGTTCTGCTACGAGGGCGCGGGCGGGGCTGCGGGTGGGGGCGGGGGCGCGTCGCGCGCGCGGCCCGTGTGCTCGCCCTTCCTGCTGGTGGAGCCGCCCGCCGTGCGCGGCCAGACACCGCAGCCGCTGCAGCAGAAGGATTTGCCGCCGGTTTTTATTATATTTTTTATTACTTACACTATAGCCTATAAAAGTTCACTGCTGAACGTAAGCTACTCCCAATTAAATTGGAGTAAGAGTGATTTTGTCGTAGTTGCTTTGTTTTGGCAGACAGGCTGGCATCTACAGTTATTATCTTGGGTTGCTGTAACGAAAATGCTATTTCTCATCTCCTACTTCAGTTTCCTTGCGTATCCTCTTACGACACCCCTGAATGATTGGATGTGACATGGATATCATAGGATAGTGGATATTCCTGCACAGCCCCTACACGGTAATTATTGTACTGAGTGACTATTTTTACCGTCGAGAAAATAATACAGTGTTTTGTGTAAGTGGAATAGACGCTGTCCTCGAAGTATTTTTAAAATATAACTAAATAAACAAAGTTTCCGATTATCCAAATCAATACATAAAAACAATTCATCCTAAAGCGTTTACGTAAAAATAGTAAATGAAATTTGTAAGAGCGGGCGAGACACATGCACATTTCTTTCCTTATCTAAGCGCCATGCAGCCAAGTTAAACTTTTTTATAAACATAACGGGCGCCTTACGTTAACAAAAAAATATATTTCTCTTATAAGTATTTAGGCACTTTTGATATTTATTTTAGATTTTTACTGCCTCGTTGGTAGTTGTAGTAATGTCACAGCTAATCATGAAGTCGTGATCTTGAATCCCGGGTCGGGACAAAAGAAATCAATTTATTGAGTTTTTCGGTCAAGAAATTCTCAGTAGCTACCCGGAGTCAGAAAGTTGGCGGTGTCTCATCCCCGTGCCTCAGAAAGCACGTAAAGCCATTAGTTGGTGGTGCTTTTTGCGTATAATGTCAATGTCTTTAAAACTCAGTGAAAGTAGACCTCCCAGTAATAGTTACTGCTTACTAATTCAAGATCAGCATATACTGGTTGTTAAAATTAGTACTGATTAGTAAAATACTTGGTCAATTAAAGAAAAAGATTTAAAATAGCAGAACTTCTCAATCATTCAATAAAAAAAATAACTCTAAAACTGTTTCATTATATAGAATAATAATATTAATATGTAGAATAATGAAAGCGGTAATAGTTGAATCGAAAAGGAGGTGTAATATAAAATATATACAATCTAGTGTTAATAAAACAAAAGCTACATGGAACTTGATAAAAAATAACACCAATTCAATAGAAAACACCATAAAAAATATAAAAGTTAACGGGTTGGTAGTCAGTGAGCCAAATGAAATGGTAGAAATTTTTAATAACTTATTCCTTACACGTAATTATCAAAATTCTAATGTTGGATCTTATAAAACTTTAAATAACTCATTTAATTGCAACAGTATTTTCTTATCACCGATCTACATAAATGATGTCAGTAAAATAGTTAAACAAATAAAACCGGAAAAATCTTTTGGCTACGATCATATATCAGTGTATTTAATTAAACAATCCTTAAAGCATATATGAGCCGTGGTAGATCAGTGGTTAACGCTCGCTGTAAATATAACAGAACGCGAGTAACCCGGGTTCGATCCCCGCCGGCACCAATGAAATTGTTAATTGCAATTTTAAGTGCTGATTTACCACGTGCTCAGCGGTGAAGGAAAACATCGTGAGGAAACCTGCATGTCTGAGGAATAAGAAAAAAAAATATTTCGAAGACATGTGAAGTTCGTCAACACGCATTTGGGCAGCGCGGCGGACACTTCCTTGCCCTAAACCCTCTCAGAAATGTGGGGAGGCCTGAGCCCAGCAGTGGGACGTATATAGGCTGTAACTTTACTTTTACTTTTTTTACTTTAAAGCATATTTCAGAACCAATAATGTATATCATAAATCTTATGTTAGAAACGGGTACATTTCCAAGTGACCTAAAATTGCTCTTATAAAGCCTATTTACAAAAAAGGACCGAAGCAGGACCCAAATAATTACAGACCCATAGCACTACTACCAAGCTTTTCCAAAATCTTTGAAAAAGTTATTAATAATAAAGTCATGAATTTTGTTAATGTAAATAAAATCCTAATCAATATGGATTTCAAAAAGGTAAAAACACGTCATTAGCTATATTTAAAATAATGAAATATATTTGGGATGACATAAACGAAAAAAATCCATGTTTGGCCATTTTCTTAGATATGACAAAAGCATTAGATTGTGTTAATTATGAAATTTTACTGAAACACTTGGAAAACATTGACATTCGCCGAATTGCTCTAAAATTATTTAAATCGTATTTATAAGATCGATATCAGGCAACTACTTTGGATACGTATAATAGTAATACTATAACTATTGAAATAATTAAGTCAAAATTTAAAAAAGTCAACATTGGTGTACCTCAAGGAAGTAATCTCGGTCCTTCTTTGTTTTTAATATATATCAACGAGATATTTAAAATCACCAAGCATTTAACAGTAATGTTTGCTGATGATGCTACAGTCTTTTATACTAGTAAGCTAATAAATAATTCAGAACTTGAAAGTGAAATTAATAAGTCCATAAAAGACATAGTGTCCTGGTTAAAATCTGTAAACCTTATAATTAATGTAACTAAAACTAAAATTCTCCAATTTAGAAATTACAAGACCGAACCAATCCATTTAAAAATATCATTTGATGGCTCAGTCATAGAGGAAGTAGATAATATAAGCTTTCTTGGAGTTAAAATTGACTCTCACCTAAATTGGAAATCATACATAGAAAAGATTAACAAAAAGATATCGAGTTATTGCTATGTTCTTTCAATACTTTCTTGGTCAACCTCTGAAACTGTTACTAGAAATGCGTACTATGGTTATATTTATCCACTGTTAATCTATGGTATAATTTTTTGGGGTAGTTCAACCAACATAAATGAAACGTTTATACTACAGAAACGATGTTTACGCATCATATACCGTAAAACAAATAGAGACAGCCTGAGGAATTTATTTAAAGAAAAGCGTTTTTTAACTGTAAATGGAATATATATTTTGAGTTGTGCCTATTTATAAGAAATAATTGCGATTTATTCGAAACGGCAAAATTTACGCCCTCGTTACGAAAACAATTTTTATCTACCTCAAATTAAAAATAAATTGTTTGACAAAAGTGCATACATAACAGCAATTAAAGTATTTAATCACTTACCCAATAGTATTAAAACAATAAAAGGGCCCAAATTCAAACATAATCTAAAAAACTGGTTGGTGGAACATACGTTTTATACGCTAAATGAATTCTATAATTTTAAGAGTTAATATCGTGTTCTTTATTATATTTATATCTATAAGCATTTTTTTCAAATATTTTATCTTAGAAGTTAATTGTAAATCTATTGTCTGTTAAATGTAAATTGCAAAAAATGTAATCTGTTAAATGCAAATAGTATATATATTATGTTTATGAAAATTGTAAATCTATTGCACGACTGATGAGGCAACTGTTGATACCTTTAATAATATGTCATCTTCAACGTGTACACAGTAATGCAATAAATGAATTATTATTATTAACAATAATAATAATGCTGTCGCATGTTTGTAAATTACCCTTCGTTTTAGATTATTATTTTTGTGATTTCTATCTTTCCTTCATACTTTTACGGACTTAGGCCGTCTAATATGCTGTTGTTGAGTTGAATTACAAGTTAAATTTTATCTTGCATTATAATTAATTGATAAACAGTTTCTGATAATAATTTATATGCCTGCCGTATACTGCATCATCTTGGTCTATTTAAAAGATCGAAATCAACTTATTTATATACTACACTTATTTACAAATAAAAATTACCTTTTTATTATATCGCAGTAATTGTTCAAAATGTCTACAGTTTCCTTCTAAACACAAACTAGCACGGTTTTGTAAATTGTTTGTTAAACTTCGAAGCGTGTTTCTATTATTTTTTATCACATTAAATGCGTCTATTATACGCTCCTTTAAATCACTAACACTATGTGCGTCGTCTGTGTACACAACACTAATCATTTTAGTTCGGCACATTTCTAGGTATTCGACATTAGAGTATTGGTACATGTTTTCGATAACTATCAGCGGGCGGCCGATACACACGTGTAAACATATACAATACGACGTAACGCCGTGGCTAATTGCACTTGACTGAAAAATATAATGAAAGCGCGTGGACCGCAGGCGGGAGCGGGTATTGTGTGGGCGGCACTTGCGCCAAACGACATCAAAGAGGCCTACCGCGGGTGCTTCGAACATCGGTTGTTTAAAATGTATAGCATCTCGTTACAAACTCATTGGTATTATTGCTGCTCAATATGTAAATGACGAAAATGTTGCTCTTACACGGCCACTATACGGGTTGTTTCAATTTTGGACTTTTGATAGGATTTTTCTCCTTTTGAGCTCAGAACAGGATGATCCTGTTTCATTTCTCAATATAACCTCATACGACACTTAAAATACAATTATTTGGCACGCTTTCTGTATCGTGGCGCTGAAAACGGGAACGATATTGCGTATTTCCGATTTTATTTCCTTTGCCTACCCATCGTACTACACTCTACTACACGGCACGCTCGCTTAGGCAGGGCGCGTGCGTGGTCATGGCGGGCTTCTGTTTGATTTTCCTCTGGCGCGTCCTATGACACACATGTTACGTGTATTGTAAGAGCGGTGTGCGCAGGGCGCGTGCGTATTCCCGGCCGGACGGGCGGCGCGCACGCTGGCTGGTGCACTGACACGCGAGGCGGATTGGGCGGTGCTGGCGCACGTGCTGCGCGCGCTGCCTGCGCTGCTGCAGGCGCGCGCGCTCGTTGTCGGCCGCCGTGCGCACGACCTCGACCTGCTCGCCTCCACGCTCTGCGCCATGGTACGTGCGCCTGTGCACTGAACACACATACACACACACAAAAATGCTGCCCGCGCTGCTGCAGGAGCGCACGCTCGTCGGCCGCCCTGCGCATGACCTCAACCTACTCGCCTACCACACACACACACACACACACACACACACACACACACACACACACACACACACACACACACACACACACACACACACACACACACGTGCTGCGCGCGCTGCCTGCGCTGCTGCTGGCGCGCGCGCTCGTTGTCGGCCGCCGTGCGCATGACCTCGACCTACTCGCCTCCACGCTCTGCGCCATGGTTCGTGCGCCCGTGCACTGCGCGCACACACACACACACACATACGCACGCGCGCGCGCGTGCGTGTGTGTGCTGCGTGTGTAAGCAATACATTTACACATAGACGTACGAACGGGTCGGCTCGACCGGGGCAGTACAACGCTCTCACAGAATACCAGCGTGAAATAGCAGCTCAATGCTGTTGTAATTCGTATAGTGAGTATAGATAACCGGAGACCCTTTTTACTAGGAACGAGGTATTCCGTAGTCCTCAGGGGTGACAACATATTATTTTAATTCTTAATCGAGAATAGATGTAGTTGTCTGTGAGCCACAGCATCCACTTACCATCAGGTGGGTTGTCGCTTGTCACCCTTATTTTATTTAAAAAAAGTACTACGTTCTTTTGAGCTTGCAAACACCCCACTGTTTAACATATGTTACACAAAATTTAAATAATCTGTTGGTCACATTTGACAGACTAACAAAAAAATTTGTGCCCCTTAAATCTTATTACAAATATTTTTCTCGCTTATATAGGGGAGTCGGAACTGTTTCCACTTCTGCAACGTATTCAATTTTTTGAGCATCAAAATCTGTGGGTCGAAAAGTTACATCAAAAATATGTCGGAACGAAAAAACGCTTTAGTCCCAAATCGTTTATTTTTCTTATACTATATGCGCCTCTTCATTCATATAATCGAGTCAATACATGTAATTACATCAATAAGACAAAATGTCATCTAGAAGCTTACTCTCACTGCAAATTTTTAAGAGTAGGAGTTTTTACATATAACTAATACACTCATTCTAATTATAGGTTTCTGAAAGGAGTCCATCATTTCCGGAGAGCCTTCGTGTAAATAGTGGCCAAAAACTACTGTTGTCAGAATTCCATGCGACGGTATTGCCGGCATTGGCTGCGTTAGCCTCGTACCACAACTTTTTAGAACCGCACACACAACAGCGAATTATTAGGTGTTTACTGCGATACGGCATGGGTAAGCGATTTTTTTTTGTATTTCACAATTTGAAAGCACAAAAAATAATTAAATTAAACATTTCTTTTCTGTTTTTTATCCTTAGATGTAGAATTTTTTGTCTTCATTAAAATATGGTATACCATACTTCAAGGATAAAGAGCCGTGGTAGCTCAGACGATTAGCGCTCGCTGTAAATTTCACAGTACGCGAGCAAACCGGGTTCGAAGCCAGCCGGCACCAATGAAATTGTTAATTGCAATTTTAAGTGCTGATTTACCACGTGCTCGGCGGTGAAGGAAAACATCGTGAGGAAACCTGCATGTCAGAGAAAAAAGAAAAAAAAAATTTCGAAGGCATGTGAAGTTCGCCAGTACGCATTGGGGCAGCGCGGCGGACTATTCCTTGCCCTGAAAACCCTCTCAGAAATGAGCGGAGGCCTGTGCCCAGCAGTGGGACGTATATAGGCTGTAACTTTACTTTTTACTTCAAGGATGTTCTCTCTTTGAGTTATGGTATATTTAATCAAGAGACTCGATAAAATCGGTCCACATTTGACAAAGATACGCGTAACACTTGTACAAAAAATAATAATGGCAAATTGAAAATCCACTCCTTTTTTTAAGAACGATTTCAAGTACAAATTTATTCATTGTCAACAGTACTCCGTGCACCACAGCCTTACATCAACGCATTAACGATCTTCACGCTGGAGACTCGAGAAACAATGGTGAAGATGTTGCCAGAAGTGTTGCTTGATTTGTCCAAGATATCCGACACTCAAGCTATTGCCAGTCCCATGCTCGAGTTTTTGTCAAGTAAGTTTCTTGACTATTAGACATACCTCGTTCTGGATTTGAAAAACAATTATAGATTTTAATAACCTCAAGTTTGCCGTGTGGAAGCGTAAGGAAATCAATCAAATTTTTTTAAAACTGTCGAAAATGCCATAAAACTCTTATGGCTTCCGACAGATGGCATTAAACAATTTCTTCTATGCCAGACGTAAACGGTGATCACGTCTGGTTTTGTCTACCAAGCATGGTCATTGTGGTAAATCCCTACTACAAGAGATGCCGATTTACAGCGACGGACTTTTATTTATTTATGCTTTATTTTCACACTAACTATAAAAAGGCGGAGTTTTTTTTATAGGATAGGGTGACATACGAGCACACGGTCCATCTGATGGTAAGTGGTTGCTGCGGCCCATAGACATCTACATGTATCATCGATTACAAAACAAAATGCAGATGTGTTGTCACCCGTGGGGACTAAGACGGATTGCCTCGTTTCCAGTAAAAATGGTCTCCGGTTCTCTACACTCACCATACGAAATAGAGCAGCATTAAGCTACTATTGCACGCTGGTATTCTGTGAGAGCGTGGTCCTACCCCGGTTAAGCTGACCCATTCATTCTGCAACTATACCAATAATATAGCTGCAGCATAGCTCTACCACGTAAAATTATTTAAGAGTTAATGCAACAAGGCATTCTCTACCAGTCTACCTCCAGACTAAGCAGAGAAGATATTGTGGGTGCAAAGTGCAACAGAGTTAAAAATATCTATGACTACTATTACATACTACGATACGTATTATAAACATAATTACACAGAAAAAAATTGATATGAACGTGTTTCACAGCCTTCATACGAACTTTTAAATAAGGTTACCTGGGGCAAGTGTGACATAAATTAATTAAAACTTTAATCGACATTTAAGTACTTCTACTCTGCAAGGATTTAATATAGAGAATTCAGTTTCATGACATCAACTATTAAGTGGTTGTATGTTTGATCAAGCATTTGAATATCTACAAGTAGCAATTTGTAATTTGAGGTTATTAAAACTAATTGAGGTGGAAGACTGTCACACTTATCCATCAATGGGGCGAGTGTGACAGTACGCTTTTTTTGTAGTTACTTTATTATTATCTGTGGTTTTCAACAAAATTGATGAGATGATACTGACGTCGATATATTTTATGATCTATGGAAACGATTTGAACATCCATTTTTGTGTAACATTGAATTTTCCCCAACATGTGGCAAATATGACTATTTTTTACCGATATAGTAGTGTACCTTTTTTAACCAGATTTACTACACTAGCTCTAGATGTTTTGTAAGCATAATAAAAGGAATGCCAAGTGCAAAATAAAGGTTGATTCAGAACGTTAACAATTTATGATAATATAATCATAATAAGCGTGATACTGTCACACTTACCCCGATGTCAGGTATTATGTGAGGTAAGTGTAACTGTATCCGTATTTCAAAGAATAGTGAATTTCAGGTCGCAGAAACATATTACTCTATGGGTACCAATATTATTCTTTGTATCTGGTTTAAAATAACGACATATCGAAACAATAACTTCACCTCTTAAAATTGCGCTGTCTGTCGCCAGTTGACTACTTTTTAAAAATAACGTTTGTTAATAAAGTAGTTCAAGCTATGTACTTAACTGTCAGTTTAGTTAATAGCATAAAATTTCATGTGTTGCTTAATAGATAGAATTAAACCAAAAACTCGCATTTGTTACACTTGCCCCACTTTTACACTTGCCTCGGGTGACACTACACCATTAAGTAAAAGATTTGGAAATTCTATAGTTTCTTTTAGGTTCTATACTTTCCACCCTGGGCTGGTATGGTAAGTGCAGAACCCAATTCAAGCACAAATGTCCTGCGCTCACCAAATTTTGATTAACCGCTTTTAGTTGGTTATAACGTCATAAATTACATACGTTTACAGTATATTGTATTGTACATTTGTTTATCCCAGCATTAACTCGGCTGCCTCGCGTGTTTGCGTCTTTCGTTGAAGACCAATACATGTCGGTGTTTGCCATCCTGCTTCCGTACACAAATCCGTCACGCTATAACCACTACGTTGTGTCGCTGGCGCACCACGTCATCGCAGCCTGGTTCCTCAAGTGCCGCCTCTCTTACAGGAGAAACTTCGTTCGCTTTATAATTCACGTGAGTACCACTCATATTACCACTAATTATCACATGAAATAACATTAAAAATATTGGATCTTAGTGGTCCTCGGTCTTGTAAGTCGGATAATTTTAAAGTACATACATAAACACCCCCCCTTCACCCAAAGGGGTAGGCAGAGACTACAGACTTCCATTTAGCACGATCCTGACATACCTCTCTCGCCTCTTCCACATCCATATATCTACGCGTACATGCTCGTCGGTTAAGGGTACTCTTAATTTGGTATATATTTAGTATATCGCCAATTTGGTCGACAAACTTCCGCCTAGGACGTCCCTTTCTGACTCTTCCATTCACTTCTGCAACATATATTTGCTTTCTCAGTCTTTCCTCATTCATTCTTTCTACATGACCAAACCACCGAAGCATTCCTTTCTTAATCCTGGTCACCGCATCATCTTGCAAACCACACTCTTCTTTTATCACACAGTTTCTCACCCTGTCACTCAGATTCAGCCCTAACATACTCCTTAGCGACCGCATTTCTACTGCATGTATTCTACTTTCGTTCTTCTTCTGCGACACCCAACTTTCACTACCATACGTTAAAGTAGGGACTAATACAGCATTCTGAATTGCCATACGTACCTTTTTTGACACATTCTGACTTTTCACAATAGAGTTATAATATAGGAGACTTCAAAATTCAAAAGTCTCCCATATAATTTGTAAATACTTCTACACAACGTAATATAACTGTACCATTATACTAAATTGACTGTAATTTCTTGTAAAATGCATAATTTATAACGTCAACCTTAGATAATCGACATGAATAATAAATTCGTTGTTTTGTTTTCAAATAAAGAACATTAACAGAGACCTTAATTTCAAAAACTATTTTGTAATGAAAATCAGGCCTGTTGGTTTAAAAAAATGCTGTGACGATATTTTACATATTTATCTATACTATAATAATACTCTGACACGTCTGTCTGAACACGCGTCATGCAAAAACCTTTGAACCGATTCGGATGGGACTGACAGATAGCTAAAGTTATAAAGAACTAGGCTTAGACTACTTTAATTTTAGGGTTCAGCGCAAAAAAAATCCACGTTGGCAAAGCCGCGAGGAACAGCTAGTCTATAAGTATTACTGCTGTGTCCTATAAAATATATAGTAACAAAATATACAGGCTTATTTTGCTATAACCGACCAAATTTACAGAGAAGGGTCGGAATAAGTAATATAGGCAAATGGTAATGAAAAATTAATTTAAAAAAATCTCAAACATTCTGCACTTTTTATATACTGCTAACTGATTTTAATGCGCACGCACACATTCGTAAGGGTCGATTGGTAGGCAAAAACGTTGTTGCCCATAAATAACATTTAATTCCGAATAATTTCAAATAATAGTAGGAGTTATTATTTACTCGTATTTTTAAAAACTGCAATAACGGTATATCATTATTTATATATTTGAACTGAAGTTTAAAATTTGGCTACTCTGACTAAACTATGAAACTAATTCTTAAAATCAGTATGCCTTTTGAACTACAAAACGCTTTATTATAATATATATGGACAATGGCGAAATAATATGTAATGGAATTATTAAGCGTCTACTTATGTCACCAATACAGATATCAATAAAATAATTTACTATGTATTATCTGATCAAGCTTATGGCCTATCGAAGTCTGGAAAAAAATCGTCATACACAATTCAAAACTTAATTGACTGGTTGTTGTAGTTGTTACGATTCGTCAGTTAAGACAGGCAAAGGTAAACTTATACCATCAGCCGAATTTGACGTGTATTTTATTCAGAAAACTCTAATATAATATACTAATACGTTCTTTAAGGATTTTCTCTATGCTAATTACCCTATATAAACATATATGAAAATTATATTGACTAGTTGTTGTTGTAACGATTTGCCAATTAAGGCGTTTTATACCATACAGCCTATATTATGTGCCAAATCTATTGAGAAAAACGGACAATGACCTGAGATATGAGCGGAGTGTCAAAAGGCGTGTAAGTTAAGCCGCGTTTTCACTTTACGAGTACTCTCGGACCGAGTGCGCTCATACGAGCTAGATTGTATAGGAGTCCACTCTGAACTTGGTTAAGTTACGAGTTCATCAGCGTCAAAGTAGCATTTAATTTTGTCTCTTTGTACGCGATGACAACTGAGCAACTGCTGCGAGGTACAGAAGTTGTGGCAGATATGTTAATCACTGAAGTTCAAAATCATGAAAAGAAAAAAAATCAAAGCAAACGAAAAATTTTGACCCGAAACTGGATTTTAAAACGTGAAGAACTAGGTCCTTCAAATAATTTTATTCGAGAATTGTACGAGGAAGATAAAACCAATTTTAGAAACCATTTGAGATTAAACAGCGAACAATTTGAGTATCTGCTAGAAAAAGTAGCACCATGAATACAGAAATCAGACACCCATTTGAGGAAAGCAATACCTGCAAAAGTTAAACTTCAAATAGTATTAAGATATCTAGCTACGTGTGACAGTTTTGGTACCCTAGAAAGTCACTTTCGAGTACCGAAATGCTCCATGTCCCTGTTTTTAACTATGGTATTAGATGCTCTTTATGATGCATTAGAGAAATTTATACATTTTGGGTATCTTTGTTTTTATATTCAGTCTCACACAACACAGTCTACAAATCTCAGAGTCAGATCTCATGTTCGTTCCACTTTTTTTTAATTGGCGCCATTTTGTCATCACAAAATTATCCGAGTTTACTCGTAAAAATAGAACCTCATCCGACTCCACTCTGATCGAATGACGCTGTCCGAGTACGCTCGGGTTGCGTGTTTACACACTACGAGTAGCGTCCGAGTAGGCATCCGAGCACACTCGGTCCGAGAGTACTCGTATAGTGAAAAGGCGGCTTTACGTAAAAAGTAAGATCTCAAATTAGATGAGATAACAATATTAAAATATTGATATTATTCACACTTCTGGGTCAGCACATATGTTTTGTTTTTTTGTTTCTTAAATAATGTTGTCTGTGGTTCCTATAAACATCGTTAAAGCTTACGGTATATCGCGAAAATTGTGTTATATTTTATATTTCAATTTATGGTAAGTAACGCAGCAATTCATTTAATAACAGTTTCATATTAAAAAAAATATTTGAAGCAATATAATCACCATATTGAGCTTTTACAAATTCATCCCTTTAAAATAAACAAAACGCGCGTTACGTCAGTTAGTTCGTAAAAAGAAACGTGACAATAGCAGCCAGAGATGCGTCACCTTTTTTGCAAGTGAAGATATGAGTGATGATTGCACCGAATAAAAATAAAGTTCTTATATAACATTAAAAATTAAGTTTTATCTTTTGAATAAGTACGTACTTATTCGGTTTCGTTATCACTCGAATCTTTATGTTTTATAAATTAATGCTTTTTGTTGTTAAATGAATAAAGTACCTTATAACAATAGATGATTTCTCTTCTATAGCGATCTTTTACATAACCTTTTAATAATAATAATAGTTAATAAATATCTATTATATCAATCATTATAAGAAAAAAATTAAAAAAAATCATAAATAAAGAAAATACTGTGGCGGCGCTGTCGTCGCGCCACAAGCGAAATACACCGAAGCCTAAATCACGCTATCAACATTCCGAGTCATAAACAGTATATATAGAACATCTCCGAACTATGACATGGAGTGTCGGCCGCTCCCCGGCATAACACCTTGCCCGGCGGGAGATCTCCCCTTTTCCTACTTCGGCCACAGTGGTGACCACCCGACGTGATCTGAACACGCAACCAAACAACCTTCGGAAACTTCAAGCCTCATCATCGTCATAGAATACCCCACCCATTCGCTCCCCAGCAGATATCGTCTGCAGTCTTCATATCCTGCAAGCCATCTAGCTTCACAAGGTTCATCGCAGCACTGGAATAATAATGCTTCCTGTTCCTTCAAGCTACTCTCTGCGTTATACAGTGTTCGGCACGGCTCTGAGCCTTACTGCTCGCCTCTGCTTCACGGCACTCTCGCGATTACTGCCTTCTTCTCGACTCACCGCAAATTACAAGACAATCTCCTGGCACTTGCACATTCATCGACAACTCGACTGCACTAACGACCTATGGTCTGTGCAGGGGGGTGATGTGGCGGCGCTGTCGTCGCGCCACAAGCGAAATACACCGAATCCTAAATCCCGCTATCAACATTCCGAGTCATAAACAGTATATATAGAACATCTCCGAACTATCACACGGAGTGTGAGACGCTCCCCTGGCAGAACACCTTGCCCGGCGGGAGATCTCCCCTTTTCCTACTTCGGCCACAATACTACATATATAATGTGTTTATATATTGAACGTTGGTAACCCCTGGTTAAACGACCGAAAGGTCATTGTACGTTTTTCTCGATCGATTTGGCACATACTTTAGTCTGATGTGTATTTTGTTTAAACTATATTATCTTTAATTCCTGACCTGCAGTAGTATGACCAAAGAAAAAAAATACGTGTGGCACTCGGTGACTGCCGCGGTAAAGCTATTGCATAGCATTTTTTATCAACTTATGCAATTATAATTATTTATTTATTTTATTTATGCAGTTAAGTCTTTGATATTAAATCAAGTTACACTTTTTGAGCGTGGTGACCGATAAGAAAACAATTTTTTTCTCTTATTGAATAAATGAGAAGTTAATATTGTTTAAACTATTTTTAATATCTTACAATACATGTAGGTTATTCAGGATTTTTTATCATTGAGTTAGCAGCTAGTGTACACGCATACGTCTAGTCGCACGCACACAAACACCGTGCCGAAGTCTGCCGAGTGCCGAAGTCTGCCGAACTGAAACGACGTTAGACGATGCACGGCTTTCAACGCCACACCTCCGTGCCCGTCGGAGTGGGGAGCGTGAGATTTTTTTTTCGTTACGGAATTTCTGGATTCGGTCCCCGCGCTCAAGGCCCGCGATAGAAGCTATGCAATAGCTTAAAATATTCAGGATTTTAAACTCTATATTTTTTACATATTTTGCATTTGTAGACGCAAGAAAAAGTCACGTAAAATAAATAAATAAAATTTGAAGTGTGCCTTGCCTTTGTCTGTCTGTTTGTTCCGGTTAATCACCGAAACGGCTAAACCGATTTTGACTGAACTTTTACAGGCATATAGCTAATGTTATAAAAACTAATTTAGGCTACTATTTTATTTACATTAGGGTTCTGCGAAAATACCATATAAACCAATCGTAATAAAGTCGCGTAGCACGACAGTTTCTACAGCGGTTTATGGTTTCACTTTGAATTGAAATTTTTAATTTGAATTGAAAATCTTAGTTTAAGCAAGAACTTGTGACCCACTTTAACTTTTTTTAGACTTGAGTAACCTCCTTTTTGCAGGGCCTGCACAACTATATAATAATGCCGTTCGAAGAGCAACTGCAGTATAAGTCAAACCACTTTCAACAAACTTCCTCAGCCAATGAGGATTCATCCAATCGTCAACGTAGTTCCAGTCTGGTTCGTTAAATTTTAACATTAATTTTCTTATTTGTATACCGAAATAATATTATAAGTATTATATTACCAGGTTCTTATTTATAAATTTTGTTACGCGCCCAAGTTGACGTCAGGTACCTGGAACTAGCGCCATCTATTGTCAGGGACCAGAGCGAGGAGGGCTTCCTAGAAAATGTCAATCTTGACTTTCGACCAACAGCGCCATCTAGTATCGAATAGAAGAATTAAGCTTTCTAGAAGCCCCACACTTGAACTTTCTGCGCCTGGTCGGTTGGCGCCCGTATTTACTTGAATATACTGGATGTTTTCGTGGAAGAGCCAAATAAGCCAATAAAGCCACTGCAAGCTGCGATCGGAGCAGTATTGAATTTAGCGAGACAAGCGAAGCTTCGGGGCGAAATAAAGTGAATCAGTGTGATTAATTATTAGTGTTTTAAGTTTTAATTGGTGTTCGGTAATAAAAGTGTAAATTTTGGTAATTCAATCGGCAGTTTTTATTGTCACGAACCTCAAGCTCGTAACAATTGGTGTCAGAAGTGGGATAAAATCATGCCGATTTTACCTAAGGAGGAAACGGAGGGTGTCCGTACCTGAAGTCAACGTCAGCAGGAGACGGACCAGAGACGATTTGGTGGTGTAACGTCGCAGATGTCTGAGGGCCAGCTGCCGGCCACGGAGGCCGGCCCGTCAGCAGCTCCTACGTCTGTGGCACCTGACTTAGGTGCTCTTATGGTGATGCTGCAGCAGCTGCAGCGCGGACAGGAGGAACAAGCCCGTCGGTTGGAAGAGCAGCTTCGGGGTGGACAGGATGAACAGGCCCGCCGACAGGAGGAACAGGTTCGTCGTTTGGAAGGCCATCTGCGGGGCGGACAAGAGGAACAGGCCCGTCGGTTGGAAGAGCAGATGCTCCTCATGAAGGACCTACACGCTACCTTCGGGAAGGAGATAAACGAGGTGAATTTCTCAGCATGACAACTATCGGAAGCTGAAACCCAAATCGCGAAAACTGAAACCCGAATCGAGAAAGCTGAAACCCGAATCGACCAAGTGAACAATCGGGTTGACAACGTGATGGCTGACGTGAAGAAAACGCTGGGCGACCTCAAACTGGGGGATGGAATTACAGCTCCCGTAGTAGCTGCAACACCTTCGCTACGTGGGTTCAAGGTGCACCAGCCACCGTTCGACGGGACTTCTTCCTGGTCGGCCTACAAAATCCAGTTCGGGGCTGTTATGAAGGAGAACTGCTGGAATAAAAATCAGGCCATGACTGCTCTCACACTAGGCCTGCACGACCAGGCTCACTGACACAGACTGAGGCTCGGGTGCCACATGACGCTTAAGGACCCCTTGGCCCATGCACTGGAGGTGGAAGCCGTGCGGCAGGATCATCGTTCCCATCGTGTCAGGGAGGTTGCAGCAGCTACAGTTCACGACCGCAATAATGGATACAGCCCTAGGTGCTATGGCTGTGGGGAAAGAGGCCATCTTCGATCCAGCTGCCCTAAGCGAACTGTAAAAAGGGAAGGTGATAGATCTAGAGAGGGTAGTGCAGCTAATGGCACCGCCTGGCGGCGGCAGGATCATCGTTCCCCTCACGTTAGGGAGGTTGCAGCAGTTACGGTTGGCGACCAAAATAAAAATTACAGCCCAAGTTGCTACGGCTGTGAGGAAAGGGGCCAGCTGCCCTAAGCGATCTGTAAAAAAGGGAAGGTGATCGACCTCGAGAAGGTTGTGCGGCTAACAGCACCACCCAGCAGCAGGAATACGACTTTGTGATTGAACACCGCAGCGGGAAATCGCATGGCAACGCAGATGCATTGTCAAGAAGACCTTGTCCTGAAAACATTGTACTAGGCAAGAGAGTAAGGAAGTGGTATCCGTGAGGATGCTCGGACAGACCACCTCAACAACCAGTGGAGGGACAGCTTACAACATGCACAGCAGGAAGATCCGGACATCAAGCCGATTCTGCAATGGATGAAGGCCAGTGCTCCCAAGTCCAAGTGGCGCGACGTCTCAGCGATGAGTTCGACCACGAAAAGCTATTGGGCCCAATGGGACAGCTTGCTGATTCAGGATGGAGTCCTGTGCCGTAAATGGGACAGTGGTCGAAGAGACAGCTGTCGTTTGCAAAAGGGTTTCTCTGTAGCAGCCAGGCTGATCAACCCAACGGGTGCTGAATTTCTGCAACATCACCAGTTGATGATTGAGTCGACATCAAAAATAGAAGAATCATCGATGGGAAAACCATTCTTGCATATCAGTATTTCGTCTAAGCAACCAATCTGCCCACAATAAGAAGCAGAGATGTTCAACAATCGTATCACAAGATCCTCGAAGAATACCCTGGAATCACAAGAATAACTTCAATGAAATTATCACCGAAGAACGACGTTGAGCATTCATCGAAACCAATGGACCACCACTTCATTGCCGTGCACGTCCAATCGCACCACACCTATACGAGCAAGTTCAAAAGGAATTCGAAAACATGATTGAGCAAGGAATATGCCGTCCAAGCAAAAGCCCTTGGTCATCACCACTTCACATTGTACCGAAGAAGAATGGAGAATTACGAGTTTGTGGAGATTACAGAAGACTGAATTCTATTACCACTCCTGACCGCTACCCAATACCGCGAGTCAAGAATTTCTCTCACCAACTGTCAGACAAGACTATATTCTCCACCATCGATCTCAACCGAGCTTACCAACAAATAAGAGTACGCGATGAAGACATAGAGAAGACGGCAATAATTACCCCAATGGGATTATTCGAATTTCCAAGATACCCCATGACTGAAGAACGCTGGTCAAACCTTCCAAAGATTAATACACGAAGTACTTCATGGACTGGATTTCGTTTTCGCATTCATTGATGATCTTCTTGTTGCAAGCCCTGATAAAGAAACGCACGAAACCCATCTGCGCACCGTGCTACAGCGATTAGAAGACAACGGAATCAAAATCAACCCTTCGAAATGCATATTTGGACAGCAAGAAGTTCAATTTCTTGGTTTCACCGTCAGCAAGGAAGGAATCAAACCGCCTGCTGAAAAAGTCAGAGCAATCATCGATTATGCGAAAACTAAACTCAAATTAAAATACTTTTAATTAAAAAACGACTTCACCATACAATTATTAAGAACAACCTTGCAAAAAATCCGTAAAAGTAGTTTTAATCAATGTATAGTGTTCGCTAAATATAAGAAATCATTACTATCGAAGAACTAAGGCGTTTTCTCGGGATAATAATTTTTTACAGAGAACACATACCTAAACCCGCTGAAATCCAAGCACCACTTCACGCCTACCTTCACAACACGAAGAAAAAAGATAAAACGTCAATCGGATGAAACGATGAAGCCACGAAGGCATTTAAAGCTTGTAAAGTTGCGATACAAAATGCAGCTTTGCTCGCTCATCCATCACACGAAGCAACCCTTGCCTATCTTCAGCGACGCGTCCGATATCTCGGCAGGAGCCGTACTCCAACAATACAGCAATGGGAAATGGCAACCACTTGGCTATTTTTCGAAGAAGTACTCCGATACTCAACGTAACTACAGTACATTGGACCGAGAGCTACACGCTGTTTACATGGCTATCAAGCACTTCAGAAAAACGTTCGAGGGTCGAAACCTGATCGTTTTTACCGACCACAAGTCATTAACATATGTACTTCCGAAGAAACCATCGCTATCGGAAACACCACGACGAGCAAGACAACTTAATATCATAAGTGAATTCACGTCCACAAGTCTCTCGTCAACAACGTTGTAAAGATTGGGAGTGTGTCGACGAGGGTCGCGTACCTGATACTCAGAATCAACAAACGGTATTCGCTGAAGGTCATACAGGTTTACGCACCAACCTCGGCACATTCCGATGAGGAGGTGGAGGAAATGTATGAGGATATTTCCAGAGCCATGCATTCCTCCAAAACCCACTACACGGTGTTGATGGGAGACTTCAACGCAAAACTAGGCACAAGAGAAAGCGGTGAGCTGAAGGTGGGGAAATTTGGAGTAGGGCAACGGAACCGAAGGGGCCAGCAGCTGGCCGACTTTATGGAGAAAGAGGGACTCTTTATGATGAACTCTTTCTTCCAGAAGCGGCCCCACAGGAAGTGGACCTGGTCGAGCCCCGACGGTTCGACAAAAAATGAGATTGACTTCATTATGACGACCAGACGCCAACTGTTCAGTGATGTCTCAGTGATCGCAAGGGTGAAAACTGGCAGCGATCACCGAATGGATAGAGGCACACTGAACCTAAAAGTTAAGTTGGAGAGGTCTCGTCTAATGAAGTCAACGCTCCGTCCACCCTCGTGCTCTAATCCAGAATCCCGAAACCTTTCAGCTCGAGTTACAAAACCGCTTTCAGTGCCTAGAGGATTGCAATGCAGTGGACGATATGAATGACAAGCTCGTGGAAACTGTCCATGCGGTCGGAGCTAAGTTCTGCAAGACCCACCGCAGAAGAACACAAAAACTCTCCGATCACACTCTTAATCTCATGGCTGTTAGACGGGAGATGAGGCTGCAATCGTCAACAGATTTGACAGCATACAGGCTACTGAACAGACAGATCTCCAAATGCATACGGCAAGACTTACGCAACTTTAATACTGCTCGTATTAAAGAAGCGATCGAGCGGAACCAGGGCTCCAAAGTCTTTGCCAGAGATCTGTCTGCCAGAAAGAGCCAACTTTCAAGGCTGAAGACTGAGTGTGGCAACATCGTTTCCGGGACACCTGAGATTCTGAGTGAGATTGAGAGGTTCTATGGGCAGCTGTACACATCATCGTTGGAGCCACACGCAAGTGTGAGTAACGATCCAAGAGCAAGTCTTATCGGACACTATTCCGATGATATCCCGGACGTCAGTCTGAGCGAGATTAGAATGGCTCTCCACCACCTTAAAAACGGCAAGGCCCCGGGCGAGGATGGAATAACAGCGGAGCTTCTGAAAGCGGGTGGAACACCGGTACTTGAAGTCCTTCAGAAGCTCTTCAATTCCGTCCTCCATGGTGGCACTACTCCGGAGGCGTGGAGCAGAAGCGCGGTGGTCTTGTTCTTTAAGAAAGGCGACAACGCTCTCTTGAAGAACTACGGACCGATTTCCCTTCTGAGCCGCGTCTACGTGCTGTTTTCGAGAGTCATTATGAATCGTCTCGCACGCAGACTCGACGACTTCCAGCCTCCCGAACAAGCCGGTTTCCGAAAAGGCTTCAGTACCATAGACCACATACATACCCTTCGGCAAATTGTACAGAAGTCCGAAGAGTACAATCTGCCACTTTGCCTGGCGTATGTGGACTATGAGAAAGCCTTTGATTCCGTCGAAATTTGGGCGGTGCTACAGTCTCTTCAGCGGTGCCAAGTTGACTGTCGGTATATTGAAGTGCTGAAGTGTTTGTACAGTAGGGCTACGATGGCTATCCGAGTACAGAACCAGTGTACGAAACCTATCCAACTGCAGAGAGGTGTAAGACAGGGTGATGTTATATCCCCGAAACTCTTCACCGCTGCGTTGGAAGACGTTTTCAAGCTACTGGACTGGAAAGGATACGGTATTAACATCAATGGCGAGTACATCACTCACCTTCGATTTGCCGACGATATAGTCCTTATGGCAGAATCGCTGGAGGACCTTAGCACTATGCTCAATGACCTCAATGGTGTCTCCCAACGGATAGGTCTTAAGATGAACATGGATAAAACAAAGATCATGTTTAATGTCCATGTCACACCTATGCCGGTAGTTGTTGGGAGCACTATGCTCGAATTTGTTGACGAGTACGTTTACCTGGGACAAATAGTCCGACTAGGTAAGTCCAACTTCGACCGAGAGGTCAATCGACGGATTCAACTCGGCTGGGCAGCGTTCGGGAAATTACGACACATCTTCTCGTCAGGTATACCTCAATCTCTGAAAACTAAAGTTGTACATCAGTGCGTGTTGCCAATGATGACTTACGGATCTGAGACGTGGTCCTTCACCGCTGGCCGTATGAGGACGCTCAAGGTCGCTCAGCGAGCTATGGTGAGGGCTATGCTCGGAGTTTCACTGCGTGATAGACTCAGAAATGAGGATATCCGCAGTAAAACCAGAGTGACCGACATAGCCCAACGGATTAGTAAGCTGAAGTGGCAATGGGCCGGCCATATAGCTCGAAGAACCGACAACCGTTGGGGAAGAAAGGTTCTCGAGTGGCAGCCTCGTACTGGTAGGCGTAGTGTAGGGTGACCCCCCACTAGATGGAGTGACGACCTGGTAAGACATGCAGGAAGTCGATGGATGCAGGTGGCTCAGGACCGTGCTTTGTGGCATTACTTGGGGGAGGCCTATGTTCAGCAGTGGACTTGTGAAGGGCTGTAATGATGATGATGATGATGAATTCACGACCGACATACGTCACATCAGTGGGAAGGACAAGATAGTCGCCGACGCACTCAGTCGCATACCAATCGACAGTGTAACGTGCCCTACATCAATCGACTATCATAAGATCGCCGCAGCACAAGACAGAGATAGCGACAACATAAAACACCTATCGAAGCAAAGTAACTTGTCCATCAAGCAAGTTACAATGCCAATGACGCATTTACCTATCTACTGTGTAGCCTCAACGTCAACCATGCGACCGTACCTACCAGAAGAAAATCGTCGCGAAGTCTTTAATGCACTGCACAACATCAGTCATCCAGGTGTTAGAACAACAAGAAAACTCATCACTACGAGTGAAAAATTCTTTTGGCCCTCAATGCAAGTGGATGTTGGCAACTGGGCGAAGCAATGCATTTAATGTCAAAAATGCAAAGTACAAAGGCATACATCAAGTAGCCTTGCTTCATTTCCACCTACGGAGAGATTCAAACACCTGCACGTTGATATCATTGGACCATTACCTACTTCACCGCAAGGACATCGTTACCTCGTAACAATGATCGACAGAACAACAAGATGGCCAGAAGCAATACCTACCGATGATACTTCAGCTGAATCCGTCGCGAAGATAATTTATGAAAATTGGATTACTCGTTTCGGATCACCTAAAACCATCACAACGGATCAAGGAAGAAACTTCGAAAGCAACCTATTCCTCAAACTACTTTAAACTATGGGGATACAGAAGACACGTACAACAGCATACCATCCTCAATCAAACTGAATAATCGAATGGTGGTATCGTACATTGAAGACCGCACTCAAAACTCGTTTATCTCAACGTACAAAGTGGATTGATGAGCTACCTACAGTGCTACTTGGACTACGAGCAACACCGCGTGCGGACACTAGTCTTAGCGCTGCTCAGCTAACCTACGGCTGCAGCATAAGACTACCGTGTGACTTTTTCACTTCAACATCGTCAAACAATCAAGAAATGGGTTACGATTTTGTAACTCAACTTCGAGAATCAATCAACAAAGCCTTATCGTCGAAGTGCACATCATCACACGGAAACAATAAATCAGTATTCATTCAAGATTTGAAAACCTGCAAGCAAGTTTTTGTAAGAAACGACGCAGTGAAAAAACAATTTCAACCTACCTACGATGGACCGTATAAAGTATTAGAGCGAAATAGCAAAACTTTTAAAATACAAATACCCGGAAGGAAATCTACAATTATACCGATCGACCGACTAAAGCCTGCCTATATTATTAACGAGGATACTTCAGAGGATTCATCATCATCATCACAACCACCAGCGAGGAAGCTTGAAAATCCATCATCTACATCAACCCAGATGAAACCTATTTTAAAAATTACGAGACACGGGCGAGTCGTCAAGCCTCCGGTACGCTTTCGCTAGAGGGAGAGTGATGTAGCAGCCAGGCTAATCAACCCTAAATAACATACCCTGCTGCTACCATAACACAGAAGGCGAAGAAAATATTTATTTTCTAACTATCCTCGGCTACTGAGATACTGCGGGCTGCATATCGATGCGAGATAATTTGATGTATATATTTAACGTTCTAATAAATGACGATGTCGAGGATTGGTGTCGCACATGTACAAGTTGTGTGACTGTGAAGGAACCTCAGACACGTAGTAGAGGAGCATCGAAATTGTACAATGTTGGTGCACCATGGGAGAGGACAGCCCTTGACGTTGCGGAGCCATTTCGAAAAAGTGCAAGAGGTACTCCTCAGATAATCCATGTGGATCGACTGGCGCGTTATTATGGGGCCGATAATGCTCGGGACGAGCATGTCTTAGGAGGGGGCAGTGTTACGCGCTTAAGTTGACGTCAGGTACCCGGAACTAGCGCTATCTAGTGTCGGGGACCAGAGCGAGGAGGGCTTCCTAGAAAATGTAAATTTTGACCTTCGACCAACAGCGCCATCTAATATCGAACAGAAGAATTAAGCTTTCTAGAAGTTTCATTCGAACTCTCTGCGCCTGGTCGGTTGGAGCCCGTTTTTACTTGAATATACTGGATGTTTTCGTGGAAGAGCCCTATATAAAGCCACTGCAAGCCGCGATCGGAGCAGTATTTAATTTACGAGACAAGCGAAGCTTCGGAGTGAAATAAAGTGAATCAGTGTGATTAATTATTAGTGTTTTAAGTTTTAATTGGTGTTCGGTAATAAAAGTGTAAATTTTGGTAATTCAATCGGCAGTTTTTATTGTCACGAACCTCAAGCTCGTAACAAGTTTTACACAGAAACATAGTTGAAAAGAGCAATGCTGGTTTATTTCTCCTAATAAACGGATCATCGCTGAACATGGGCTAAGATCGTTCAGAAATATTATGACGTCATTACACTATATTCTCATATAATTTCTGTAGAAATACTAGCTTAACGTCTATTAAAAAGTATTTAAAATGAGTGTTAAATACCTCAACTAATTATAAACAGTAGTTGGTTATGAGTAATGCGTAAAGTTAAATCGGATGCAGTGTGCGTGTGTGCACAGGGCTCGAAGGCAGTGTCGCGCGCGCCGCTGGCCGGTGCCCGCGCACTCAGCGCCTCGCCCGCCGCGCCCGCCGCCTTCCACGTGGAGCTCACCGAGACCTGCATCGACCTGCTGGCGCGCTACACCTTCACACCGTGCGCCGTCAAGCCGCAGAGGTACGTGTGCCGTGCCGCCTCCACGTGGAGCTCACCGAGACCTGCATAGACACTCTGGCGTGCTACACCTTCACACCGTGCGTCGTCAAGCCGCAGAGGTACGTATGCCGTGCTGCCTCCGCGGGGAGCTCACCGAGACCTGCATCGACCTGCTGGCGCGCTACACTTTCACACCGTACGTCGTCAAGCCGCAGAGGTACGTGTGCCGTGCCGCCTCCACGGGGAGCTCGCCGAGACCTGCATCGACCTGCTGGCGCGCTACAGCTTCACATCGTGCGCCGTCAAGCCGCAGAGATACGTGTGCCGTGTCGCCTCCACGGGGAGCTCACCGAGACCTGCATCGACCTGCTGGCGCGCTACACCTTCACATCGTGCGTCGTCAAGCCGCAGAGGTACGTGTGCCGTGCCGCCTCCACGAGGAGCTCACCGAGACCTGCATCGACCTGCTTGGCGCGCTACATCTTCACATCGTGCGCCGTCAAGCCGCAGAGATACGTGTGCCGTGCCGCCTCCACGGGGAGCTCACCGAGACCTGCATCGACCTGCTGGCGCGCTACACCTTCACACCGTGCGCCGTCAAGCCGCAGAGGTACGTGTGTCATGCCACCTCCACGGGGAGCTCACCGAGACCTGCATCGACCTGCTGGCGCGCTACACCTTCACATCGTGCGCCGTCAAGCCGCAGAGGTACGTGTGCCGTGCCACCTCCACGGGGAGCTCAGCGAGACCTGCATCGACCTGCTGGCGCGCTACACCTTCACACCGTGCGCCGTCAAGCCGCAGAGGTACGTGTGTCATGCCACCTCCACGGGGAGCTCAGCGAGACCTGCATCGACCTGCTGGCGCGCTACACCTTCACATCGTGCGCCGTCAAGCCGCAGAGGTACGTGTGCCGTGCCACCTCCACGGGGAGCTCAGCGAGACCTGCATCGACCTGCTGGCGCGCTACACCTTCACACCGCGCGCCGTCAAGCCGCAGAGGTACGTGTGCCATGCCACCTCCACGGGGAGCTCAGCGAGACCTGCATCGACCTGCTGGCGCGCTACACCTTCACACCGTGCGCCGTCAAGCCGCAGAGGTACGTGTGCCGTGCCACCTCCACGGGGAGCTCACTTTTTAGTGGAATAAGGATGATAAAAGCGCATACAACCCACCTGATGGTAAGTTGATGCTATGACCCATAGACGTACACATATATACTCGATGAAGAATCAAAATGCAGTGTTTGTTGTTCGACGTTTTCACCCCTGAGGACTGAGATGGAATGCCTCATTTCCAGTAAATAAAGGTATGGTGGTATGGTGAGTGTAAAGAACCGTGAGTTCTTTACACTCATCATACGAAACAGCAGTATAAAGCTGCTCTTTTACGCTTGTATTCTGTGAGAACGTGGTCCTATCTTGGTTGAGCCGACCATTCGTGCTATAACCATATTATAGCTGCAGCGAGGCTCTACCACGTATAAGGTACGTGTGCCGTGGCGTGCCGTGCCATACCGTACCGTACCTCATTGGTCATTGCGCTCTACTGCATCCACTCAAACATAACGAAACATGCATTGACCTTGGGGCTTAATTGGACTTGGGACTTAATAATTTATATTTTACGGAATCCATGCCACTAATCAAAAAAACTCGATTGACATTCAACATACTCGTATATTAAGAATTTCTTAGTGTTTTCTGGCCAATTCTTACATTAATGTGTTTTTTATGATTTTTCTTTTTTTATTCTGAACAATAATTGAAATAAATTTGATTAACAGGAGTGACATGGCAGAATTCCTGTTCAACGGTGGGCAATCAACGACGTGGCTGGTTGGACACAAACTCATCACCATTACCACGTCGGGCTGCTTACAAAACTCCATCAAGCAGGGTCTTTGTGAAAGGTAAAAATATACGATTATTTTCAAATTTTGTATATTAATTTATATTGCTGTGTGAACACACCCCTGTAGATATATCCTGTCGAAGATATACTCAGGTTTTATTTTCTTCTTTCACTACTGAGTTCATTGCTTTGACAATTTGACGCTGTTGCGTTTATATCGACTGGATTCAACTCACTAATCAAATATCCTATAACATTCTAAGTGGTTTAAAACGAATTCGTGAAAAATACTCTAATAAAATATTTGCGAAAAAACCTGTCGTACTAACGGTGGCCTTCGTTCTCCGTTATGACGCATAGTGCAATAGTATAATGGTTATTTTAGCGATAAATCATATTTTTACAGCCTCACATTTATACTTTAAAATATATGAAAAATGAATTACAGGTATTACAAATTTAATATTTGATTGGTGCAAGATTTTTTTATACTGTTTAATACTTATAGTCAACCAAATCTAAGAAATACCTTTTGACGTTTCACATTAATCATTCCATAATAACTTTGCACGAGCGTACTCACACGATTTAAAATAACCTTTTTTCGTTATCTATATTTCATTACAACGTGTATAGTTTTGTATCACAAATTTAAATTCGAATCTTTGAAACAAAGCAAAATGTTAAAAAATAACCAATATCAACTTTTTTACTTGACGCCGCTTCAATGATACGTCGCTATGTACCTTGCCGTAGTGTTGGGATGATTAAAATACATTGTTATGCGAATAATCGGCAAAAATATTCAAAGAATCGGCATTAATATTTGTTTAGTTAAATTTTTATTTCTTAAATTCCTTAAATTACATGAATCATGAAAAAAACAAGTTTATTTTTTTTTTACTTTGTCAACGTAAATTTGTGTAGGCAAAAAACTCATATACAACGCCGCACCGAAAAACCCACTACGTAATTTCAATCTCCCGCCATTTCGGGAGCTTACTGTGCGTAATTTTGTGTTTGTCTTCTTATTTTGTTACTCGGCTTTAACTTTTTGGACTGTTTCTTCTATATTCGTTGGAGCATGTGCCCATGTCACAAAGGATGATTGAGCAAAAGTGGTAGAAAGAATAAAAAAATTGATTATGGATGACTTTAAAAGAGACATTAACTTTGACTGCATTATTGAAAATCAAATAAAAATTAATCTAAACAACGATAGCTCAACTAATTGTACTAAAAGCGATTGAATAAATTTATTTTTAATCTAGTTTCAATTTTAAATTTTTATAACTTTGCCTCTAGAAATAAGCAGTAACAACAAATACGAAGAAACGTAAATCTTGTGTTTTAAATTATCCGTTATTTATTTTTTTGGTATAATTCAAACCAAACTAAATAATTACCAACTCTAAATAATCTATATCGATTTTTTTAAGAATCGAATATAGTACTTAATAAAAATTAAAATTGAAATATATGTAGTACTATGAAGGCAATCTAACTATGAATATTATTAATTTATTAATTAGTAAACAAAGAATGAGGAAAATAAAATGTGGATTTCAAGATACGGCATATTAATTTAAAAAAGGGAAAGAAGTAGTTGTATTCTAGCGGGCATCACCCAGAAGGATGTGAAAATTGTGCCGAAAAGAATAAAGAAGAATTTGAGAGGTAAATTCGCAGCTGTGTGATTTTTAATTCCATTTAAAACTTTAATAATTTGAGATTTTTTAATGTTGTTTTTGCTTTTAAAAAAAGTTATGCATAAAATTTTCTGTATTTAAAATATGATTAAATTAAAAGTATTTATCAGATAATTCACGATTTAACATTGAAGTAATATGTACTTACGTACTAGAACGGCTATCTCAAACAAAAAATGTGAGCTACTCTGTGTTCGCGCGGTTGGTTTTTTTATCATAGAATAAACATAGGTAGGATCCGTAGGTAATAGTAGTTGTATTGTTAAATAGGTAAATTATATCTTACTTACTTACTTACTTATCTTCACGCACAATCCCGAACGGGGTAGCCAGAGAGAACAGATCGCCAAGTGTCACGATCCTTACATACCTCTTTCGCTTCTTTCAGGTTCATTAACTTCTTCATACATGCACGTCTAGGTATCCGAGTACTCTTGACCCTCCCCTCTTCGAGCAATTTGCTCGCATGGTCTTCGAAAGTTAGTCTCGGTCTACCTCGACACCTTTTAATATTTACTTTCACTCTATATATTTTCTTCACCATTCGGTCTTCACTCATTCGTTCAACGTGCCCAAACCATTGGAGTACGCCCCTATCAATTTTTGTGATAAGGTCATCTTTCAATCCTGCCATATTGCGAATCTCTTCGTTTCGCTTTCGGTCGGCTATGGTAACGCCACACATTTTACGAAGAGATCGCATCTCCACTGCATTCAACTTGCTTTTATGGTTCTTCTGGCATACCCAGGTTTCGCTGCCATATAACAAAGTCGGTACCAACACTGCGTTATGTATTGCAAGGCGTGCACTCTTCACCACGCCTTGCCTTTTTACTAATGCATTCAGGGCACCATTGACTTTGTTTCCGGCAGCGACACGCCTATCCACATCTAAATCACATCTTCCATCCCGGCTGAAAGCACTCCCCAAGTATACAATTTCATTTACCTGTTCTAGACATTCCTGATTTACCCATATTTCACATTTCGTTCTCTCTTCCGTCCTTTTCAAATACCAGAACCTTAGTTTTATTAGCATTCAAACGGAGACCTTTAATTTCACATTCCTCTTTCATACACGTGACTAATGCCTGCAGTTCTGCTTCTGATGGTGCAATAAGCACTGCATCATCAGCATACAGCAGACAATTAACTTTTATGTCACCCAATTTCACACCCAAACAGCTATTTTTCAGCTTCTGTAAATTATATCGACAATAATATTTAAATTTTGTCATTTATTATGTATATAATATTTGCTTATTTAATATAATATTACATAATATTATATCACAATTACATTTTGGTGATATTTTATCTGAATATTTTAAAAGGTATCTATGTCAAATATAAAAAAAACATACTAAATGTATGTTTAACAAAACTTATTAACATAACACTTGATTTACAAATATATTTATTTAAATTAGAATAAGAGTCGTTCATAAATGCCGGGCACGCGAGATTTAAAAATGGACGAATTTATACCACTTTGACTTTGATGTGGAAACCTAAAAATAAAATAAAAGATTCTTATTATTAAGCAAATTTAAACATGAAAAATTTTGCTTAATTATAATAACTTATATATGTTTCCACAAAAAAAAATGTTTATAATATATTCGTCCTATACTTAAGTACCTACAGAAATGTCGCATCTGAACATATTAACTTCATTATCTAAATTCCACGACACGAGATGGCGTCTTAGGAATAATTTGTTTTATTATTAATCTATAATACTTTTTTATTGATTAAATATCTTATTAATAAATATTTATATTACTGAAAAAATAAGCACACTGCAATAATTATAAATTAATCAATAATCTAGCACTTGATTTTATATTCAATTTTATTCGGTTATAGTTTTATGTTATTTTTATTACTGTGTCCTGCAAAACATGAATGAAATAATATGAAGATTACATTTTTACGTATTTACATTTACAATGGTTTATCATTAATTAATTTTTATTTATTCATATTTTGTAGTTAACATATCACTGATGATACATTTCGTGTGTGTTTTTTATGTAGTAAATTTTATTTAAATGTACACAATTTTGAAAAGAGTTATAACCAATTTGCTATTATTGTTTTTTTTTCTTTTCTAAAGGCATTAAATCATTAATTTATATAATAACCTACCTAAAATATTAAAAATTGTTCTTTATATATAATGTTTAAATAAATTAATCTATCGTTGTGTGAAGTTTATAGCTGTTATAGTGAATTTTTTAAAAAAGCATTTTTTATAGCAAAAGATTTTTTTTAAAAAGCAAATGCATTTTGTGATGTATGTAAAAGTAACATAAATATTAACAATGTAACTATTTCTAAACTTCTGTGTAAATTAAGGAAATTTTTAAAACTATCCTTTTAAGGTACATTTTACTTGCATTCATATTATAAAATATCGTAAAAGTTATCTTAAAATTAGACGTGAATCACACCGTGTCATCCTAGTCCGATGTAATTACAAACGATGCCTTATACGTACTTTGGAATTTAAAACAAACATTTCTCCAAATATTTGCGGTGTTAGGATTACAATTTGTATTTTGATCTGTATGTTGCTATATTAATTATAATGATTATGTTGCTTAACATTGACTTCTTTGTTCTGTTTATCTTAATGTGAAATGTAATAATTTATTTTCGGTTTTATATTGTTTCAATATTTAAATCATAAGCTTTTAACTATTATAATTTATTATTTTCTTGGAAAACAGTACTAATTTGATTAGATTATGAAAGTATTTTCTTCGGATAATACGATTTTAAAACTCACTACATATAAATGTTTTACACAACTAATTGATTTAAAGTTTGTTGTTCGCATATTGTGAACCTCAATCCCTGACTGACACTGTAACTAAATATTATTCGAGATTATTATATATAGCCATGTAATATAGAAAAGGTGTCAATGAAGGAAACGTGTGGTTGGTACTAAAACTTTATTTAGACTGCCTCATTATTCTACCTTAACACTAAAGTATATTAACGTGGGAGCACTACACTACAATATCTTAATAAATAAACTAAAAATAAAATGTATTTACTCACTAACTTATTCACTATGTGATTTTTTTTATTTTAAAACAGCATAGTACATGCTGTCTTAAATTAAGCACAGTCTAAGAACACACAATCAGTCATTGGGCGTTGTAACGAATAAAATTGCTAGGGTTGTCACAACGGGAAGAGAAAAAATAAAATAAACTGGTTTTTTATTCCATGTTTAAGTACCTTTGTACATTTGTTTGTATATTTTAATAAATAAAAAATAAAATGTGTTTACTCACTAACTTATTCACTATATGTTTTTTTAATTTGAAAATAACATATTACATGACGTGTTAAATTGAGCACAGTTTCAAAACATACAGTCAGTCATTGCGCGTTCTAACGAATAAAATTACTAGGGTTGTCACAACGGGACGAAATAAAAAATAATAAACTTGTTCTTTTATTCCATGTTTAAGCAGCTCGCTAGTGTAACATAAAGTTGATTTTATGACGATTGATGGCGTGTGGTCTCCTTGTGCAGGTGCGCGGTGCTGTGCCGACAGCACGCTGAAAGCATGGCGCCCTTACAGCAACCGCAGGTGAGCCTACTGCTGCCTTAACACGGAACTCAAATCTACTCCTAATTTACATTGATAAATAAACACTACAGGTACATAATCGGCACTTCGAAAAATCTGTCTAGAAAGGCTCACAAATAGAATATGTACACTTATTTTTATGCGTGTTGCTTCTACCAAGCCTCTATCACTCTTGCTACCTACGTGAAATAATTACCTAACATCGCGACGCGCCCGGGCGGAATAACGCAGTCAGGGCGTTGGAGGCGATTGAATGTTAAGATTTTTAACGCTGTTTACGTATATAACTTTTTGTAAATATTGTTGAAATAGTTTTTGTTTAGTGTTTAGTAAATTTATAAAGTAATTCAAAAGTTTTAATGTAATTTAAGAACTATATATTATGTATATTACCCATTATTTAATAAATTTTAATATGGCAAAACGTCGTTCCTACTATAATTATTGCGTGGATAGACGCTAAATGACCAACAAAATATTTCAGATATATCATTCTTTATTACCGAAGGATTTTAGTAGGAAGTTATGAAACGTACTTATAGCAAAAAAGAATTAAGGAATAATTTATTTAATATCTACGAACTTTATTACAAAATTTAGTAGAAATTTACTTCACTATCCATTATCTACTTACAAGTACATATACTTGCCTTTTGTATTAAAATATTTTAAGCTGTTATTATTTGTTATGTATCAATATCCGGAAACCATCTTGAGTCAAGCACTTGTCTTTCCGCCTGAAGTCAGCACTTCCGGCTACCTTACCTGCATGGAGGGGGCACCTCCCCACTGTTTTTGCTTTGTTATTTAAATAGTGGTGAGCACCAGGTCTCGTCATTATAGCGTTGTTTTTTGCGCCTTTCACAAGTCAGCGTTTGTAAGCACGAAAAAGTTTTAATTTTACTAAAACTAAGTGATAAATAACTACCCTACTGATAAAATATGGAGGAATAAAGTGTCGACGAAGTTACATTATTAAATTCTCAAAAACTTGTGCGTTCGTCAGAAAATAGTGTTTGCAGTCAAACAAGGAGACACAAGAACATAAAAATGGATCAAACCGTGAGTAATGAACATTTTGAGTTTTTATCCCAGCAAGTGGCCTTTTTAACTAATATTATTACAAAATCTGGTGAAGTTGCATGCCAAAATCAAAAAATAGTCCCTTCATAATGATTTCTTATATTTACGCGAACACTACACATTGAAATAATACTAATTTTTACGGAATTTATCGCGTATATTTAACTTTTTTACCCGACGTTTCGAGAGCTTTACAGCACCCATGGTCACGGGAAGGACTGAGATGTTCAACGTCCAGCTGTCATAGTTAACCGCGGTTACCATAGATTAAAATTTAACTTTTTGTTCCGATCTACACAGTATGAACTTATGGTATCATGGAGTCTTGCAGTTGTATGCTTGGGTTGGGATTTAATTTTATTTATTATAGGATCCCAAGCAGATGGTAGCACCCAGCCATCTTCTCTATTGAAATTAGGATGTTTTTTGATTTCAATAGCCTCGCGAATCATCCTTGGAAGGAATCGGTGTTCTTTAGCGAGGATTTGTGGTCTATCAAATCTGATGTAGTGACGGGGCGATCCTGTACATGTTCACAGACTGCAGACTTCCCGGAGCGTCGATTCTTCACATCAGCTATATGTTCTTTGACGCGGGTTTTAATTGATCTTTTAGTTTGTCCTATGTAGGAGAGACCACATTCACAATCAAGCTTGTACACTCCTGCAACTTGCAGAGGGACGTTACACTTGACTGATGGTAAAAACTGACCAATCTTCTTCGGCGGCTTGAAGTATGTTTTGATGGAAGCGCGCTTCAAGATGTAGCCAATCTTGTCAGTGACTCCTCTAACATACGGCAGTACAGCGGGTACACGCTCGACTGTGGCCGGCTTCACTCGTTCTCTGTGACGTAGGCGCGGGACCCGAAGCTTGTTGTCATGCAAAACTTGCTTGACATGTTGGAGCTCGGCAGCCAGGTGTTTGCTGTCACAGATCCCTCGTGCTCTCTGAAACAAAGATTTACCCACGGTAGCTAACTGTGAAGGATGGTGGTGAGAATCACCGTTTAAATATCTATCTGTATGGGTCTTTTTTCTATACACAACACCTTGAGCCATACTGTGTATAGAAAAAAGACCCATACAGATAGATATTTAAACGGTGATTCTCACCACCATCCTTCACAGTTAGCTACCGTGGGTAAATCTTTGTTTCAGAGAGCACGAGGGATCTGTGACAGCAAACACCTGGCTGCCGAGCTCCAACATGTCAAGCAAGTTTTGCATGACAACAAGCTTCGGGTCCCGCGCCTACGTCACAGAGAACGAGTGAAGCCGGCCACAGTCGAGCGTGTACCTGCTGTACTGCCGTATGTTAGAGGAGTCACTGACAAGATTGGCTACATCTTGAAGCGCGCTTCCATCAAAACATACTTCAAGCCGCCGAAGAAGATTGGTCAGTTTTTACCATCAGTCAAGTGTAACGTCCCTCTGCAAGTTGCAGGAGTGTACAAGCTTGATTGTGAATGTGGTCTCTCCTACATAGGACAAACTAAAAGATCAATTAAAACCCGCGTCAAAGAACATATAGCTGATGTGAAGAATCGACGCTCCGGGAAGTCTGCAGTCTGTGAACATGTACAGGATCGCCCCCGTCACTACATCAGATTTGATAGACCACAAATCCTCGCTAAAGAACACCGATTCCTTCCAAGGATGATTCGCGAGGCTATTGAAATCAAAAAACATCCTAATTTCAATAGAGAAGATGGCTGGGTGCTACCATCTGCTTGGGATCCTATAATAAATAAAATTAAATCCCAACCCAAGCATACAACTGCAAGACTCCATGATACCATAAGTTCATACTGTGTAGATCGGAACAAAAGTTAAATTTTAATCTATGGTAACCGCGGTTAACTATGACAGCTGGACGTTGAACATCTCAGTCCTTCCCGTGACCATGGGTGCTGTAAAGCTCTCGAAACGTCGGGTAAAAAAGTTAAATATACGCGATAAATTCCGTAAAAATTAGTATTATTTCAATAGTCCCTTCACTTAATCTTAACTTGCACCGACCTACAACAGAAGGCGGTGACAAAATAAACCAGCTCAAGCTATCAGATTTGTGTACCACGGTAAAAGATCCTATTTATCCACGTGCAAATGAAATACATTTAAAGAAATTAGTAGAATTAAAGAGTTTTAATCGTTATGATTGGTATGCTGTACGGTTTACCGATGCCCTGGTTTTACGAACTTGCTGTAAATGATTCGCTAAAACGATTTGAATCTGCAATGTTGCGTGATGATCCTCTTTCTTATTTGCTAGAACGTTCCTTCGCCGGATTAACTAACTCCTTACTTTGCCAAAAAGATGAATTACAAAGAGCATTACAAGCACTAGTAGATTGGGCTAGTGATTCTCAACAGACATTGACTCCAAATACATTATTTGATAAAATAGAGACGTTATTTTCTAAGGAGTCACCATATAGCAAAGTAACTGAAGATTTGTTTCAAACAGTTTGTGGTAGACGAGCGGATCTTGTTACCTTACGCAGAGGTTCGTTACTGCGACAGATTCCTGAAGAATATCATCGCGAGGTTTTGCAAAAAATCCCTCCTAACGTAGAAACTCTGTTCAACGACGATTCCATTCAGACCTACCTTCAGAAAATTGGAGGGGCAGATAAATTGATCACTTCATCCCGGTCAGAGCCTCGTACTCAAAAAGAAATTTTTTATGCAAATCAAAAGCCATCGACTAGTAAACAAGCTGATGATATTTTTTTTCATCGAAGCAATCCCTCGAAAAGAGGAAAACGCGTGCACCACGCCCATCCAACCAAACGAATCAAGATAACATATAACATAAACATAACATAAACACTCACGCCTGTCACCCAGAGGGGTAGGCAGAGACTACAGACTTCCATTTGGCACGATCCTGACACACTCTCTCGCCTCCTTCACGTCCATACACCTATGCATACATGCTCGTCGGTTAAGGGTACTCCTAATTTGGCCCGTTTTCAATAAATCGCCAATTTGGTCGATAAATTTTCGCCTAGGACATCCCTTTCCGACCCATTCACTTCTGCAACATAAATTTTCTTTGTCACCCTTTCCTCATTCATTCTTTCCACATGACCAAACCACCGAAGCATTCCTTTCTTAATCCTGGTCACAACATCATCTTGCAAACCACACTCTTCTCTTATTACACAATAACGAATCAAGATAAATCGGGCAATAAACAAAGAGGAAAGAAATCGCAATCGCATTCTTCCTTTAAAGATGAGCGTCGTAAATGACTCTCAAAAATTTCGTGGCGGCTGTCTGAAACAATTTTAGTGTTTGGAGCAATTTGGGCGCACCGGAACAAATATGCAGACTATTAAGCGGCTCGTGCATCCCATTCATACTCAAGCCGTCTCTAATACTTCCAAATCAAATTGTGATTCAGAGCTACAGGACCAAAACTTCCTTAAATAAGACTCGCCAAATTCAAAGTACGTTAAAGTCCGGAGTACTCGAACAGGCGGAGCCGAGTGCCAGTTTCCTTTCAACATTCTTTTTGGTGCCAAAAGCAGACGGCAGCTACCGTCCAATATTCAATTTGAAACAATTGAACAGGTTCGTCAAAACGAAACCCTTCAGATTGTTCAGTCACTTTCGAGTACCCACCTTCCTGCAGCACCAGGATTGGCAAAATTAGACCTAAGCCAAGCCTACTTTCACGTTCCGATTGCTCGGCGTCATCGTATACTTGGGACTAAATTATCACATCAATACAAACCAGCACCAACTGGTCCAGATGACCTGCTTACCGTTTGGCCTTTCCTCTGCACCGAGAACATTTGCCTCAATAACAAACTGGGTAGCAGAGTTTCTCAGGAATCGGGGCATCAGATGTATAGTTTATTTGGACGATTTTCTATTGGCAAGCCAGTCGATGCAACAACTACAAGAA